TTGAACAACGCTCCATACGAGCATGCGGGGTTGCGTAGACTGTAAATAAGAATTTCCTATCTACCCTGTGGCAATCTCCATCTTCCTTATAAAACGCAGACAAGAAGCAGAGACCCTGGTAGCCAGAGGGTGTCCGCATCCAGAATACCAATCAAGAGTAGTTGAAGTGGCAATCCGAGAAGAGACGGAGGCCCACATGGCGGAAAACCTGGAAGAAACAAAGCTTCGACGGTGGCTCTATGATGACATTATTGTTCTCATGTTGTCATAATTTGCGGTCCCTTGAGAACAGAAAGCAGCAGACTTGTTGATTCGTGGTATAAACGCAAAAGCTTTGGAGTTCTCAGGTTGCGTAGAAAATCATGTGATCGATTGTCACCTGATGCACCAATAGCTTAGTCAGAAACTTCATCAACGTAGTTACTAACTAACCTAACCTAACCACAACTAGTTAACTGGTCAACTGGTTAGTCATGTGATACGATTGCATTCTTCTCCCGCCTTTTGAAGCAAAACTGCTTCACATTTACACAGAACAGACCAACAAGTCCTGAGCGCAATCATTATCCAACCTCTACTCTTGCAAAAGGAACATCCCTGCTCAAAGCTTCCCAGTGGTTTCAATATTTGTGATTTCCTGATTGTGAGAGCTTGATATCAACCCCGCCCCACCCCCACCGCAACTCAATCGCGTTGGCTCATCATCACCTTCACAGCTTCCCACAGTCTTCTCTATTGCCAAGCCAACGTGGATACACGCCACTCGCCGTTGAACCTTGACACTGCTGAGTGCACTGTTGTCGAGGTACTTGGGATCAAGCTAAGGTTTTCGAACCGTTGACACTTCTGGTGGTTCCGCCTTAGGACCCTATGTTGAAGAAACGGAGGGAACGAGTCCGACCTTTCACACCTCCGAACCCGCTGCCTGTCCTCTATCTTCCGTCGCCGCGAGATAGCCCCCTTCCTCTCGAATTACACCTACGGTCTCGTCTACCACGTTAAATGGCAGATGGTACCTACCGGTTCCAGCAGCCTGGGGTCGGGCAGTTCTACTTTCAGCAACAAACACAGCAGCACAACCATCCCAACGCCCATCAGAGACAACTCGTTCGACACGGAACCGGATCTCCCACTGGGAGACTGAAATTCAATACCGACACCCCTTCTCCATCCCGCTCTCCCCCGCTCAACCAGTCACCCGGTCATAACCCATATACCATGTATTCACAGGGCCAGCATGTCATGATGAATGGCGGACAGGCCCACCAGAGGTTTGGGATACCTATGCAAAAGTTCCAACACCAGAGTCACCATCCACATCATACGCAGCAACATCCCCATCACCAACACCCCCACTCCCAAACAGCCCACTCTACTATCGGTCATCAACATAACTTCTCATCCGGTGCACTGTCAAGTACTGCTCCCCATTTTACTCCATCCCACATCCCCAACGGTACTACAGCAAACGTAGATGAGGAAATTGAGGAGCCCATGAACGAGCACTGGCAGCAGCAGCTACAGCTTGCCGCAGAGTCGAGGCAGGCGAACTCTCCTCACTATTACGCTCGGTCCGTCGCTCAACAGACGAAGGGCATCCAAATCACATCCGGCCAAACAGAGAATAACGAAAATGGTACGGAAGAACGGAATCGCTCCAAAGCAACCAAAGAGGTTGCAAGAAGGCAGGACTGGATGGCCTTGGATTTCGGTGGACAAGGCCTTCGATCAATCTCAGCCGGACTTTTCCATTACACCTTTTTGGAGAAGCTGTATCTCAATCACAATAAGCTGAAGACCCTCCCTCCAACTATCGGGCAGCTGAAAAGTCTTACCCATCTGGACGTTTCTGGAAATGAGCTAACTGAACTTCCCGGAGAGATTGGTATGCTCATTAACCTAAAGAAACTGCTGCTCTTTGACAATAACCTCCATTCTCTTCCGTTCGAAATGGGATATATGTATCAACTTGAAACTCTTGGTATAGAAGGGAACCCTCTGAATGAAGTGTTCAAGTCGCGAATTATGCAAGAAGGGACAAAAGCCCTCATCACATACCTTAAAGAAGAAATGCCGAGTAAGTAGCTTTGAAGCAGTGGAATCAAGTAGAATCATTATTACTAATTCCGTACAGTTCATTTACCACCTTCGGAACGCGACTGGGTCGTCCTCGACGATTCGAGTAGAAATTTAGCCAAGGGTCAAAACGAGAAGTTCACTGCTCTCTCCTATAATACGCTCTGTGATCGATCGGCAACCCATCAGCAACATGGTTATGCACCTTCTCGAGCGTTGGCGTGGGAATACCGCAGAGACCTCCTTCTAAATGAAATTAAAGGGTATAATGCCGATATCGTGTGTTTACAAGAAATTGATCAAGGCAGCTACCATGGCTTCTTCAGAGAACAACTTGCATACAATGATTACAAGGGAGTTTACTGGCCAAAAGGCAGAGCGCAAGGCATGCCGGAGGAGGAGGCTAAAGTGGTTGATGGTTGTGCGACATTCTTCAAGGGCAGCAAATACATCCTTCTCGAGAAGAATATGATCCATTTCGGTCAAACCGCAGTCCGGAGACCCGATGCTAAAGGCCAAGACGACATATACAATCGATTATGGCAAAAGGATAACATTGCAGTCGTCACATATCTGGAGAATCGACTCTCTGGTGAGCGGCTGATTGTAGTGAATGTTCATTTATATTGGGACCCGGCGTATAAGGACGTTAAGCTCATCCAAGCTGCAATTTTGATGGAAGAAGTAACACAGCTTGCCGAGAAGTATGCTAAGATTCCTGCTTGCATCGATAAGACTGCCTTCCGATTCTCTGAGCCAGAAAATTCGACAGATGGGGATGGCACTGCTACTCCAGCAGAACCCGCGCCTTCGGTTGAATATAGCAGCGGCTCTCAGATCCCGCTTATTATATGTGGTGATTTCAATTCGTACCCCGGATCCGCCGTCTACGAACTTATGAACCGCGGCCACCTGATCGAAGACCACCCGGACCTTGAAAAACGTCTTTACGGAAATCTCAGTCGCCTGGGGATGTCTTATCCATTCAACCTGAAGTCTGCGTACGGTGCAATCGGAGAACTTGAATTTACTAACTATACCCCCGACTTCGCTGATGTGATTGACTATATTTGGTATACATCCAATTCGCTCCAGGTGACCGGGTTGCTTGGTGAAGTGGATAGGGAGTATCTCCAACGAGTTCCAGGATTCCCCAACTACCATTTCCCCAGCGACCACCTGGCCATAATGGCAGAGTTTTCCTTCAAGAGTAAAAAGTGTAAGGTTGTTGAGGTTGATTTCGGGCCGCAACGGGATAAGGATAGGGATCGGGATCGGGATCGGGATAGAGCTTCTTGACGGACGCTAGGGTTTTATTTTCACATTTTATGAGACTCAAGGGCTTATACTGTGCAGCTTTTTGTTTCCCCTATTATTTCGGACGGAATATTTGCGGTTCCCTTTCTAAAGCCTAGGGTTTTTATTATGTCGCCCTTATTTATCCCCCTCTCCTCTTGATTTCCGCCGTTGCCGTTTTCTTTACGGTTTTTTTGCTCTTCGTTTTCGTCGTGCTATTTATTGTGTATTCTGCTTCTCTCCTCGGATCTGTTCCTGGAAACCCCTTGATGGTGTGGCGACAATCTGTGTTTTTTCACCCCTTGTGTGCGATCATTCATTTCCCAAAGTCCTTCATGATTGTGTCATTTAGGCAATCAGTCTGGTTGAGCGGGTGTTATAGGGTGAAAGTCGGTCGGTGGTTGAACTGGACATGTTGTGTCAGGCATGTGATAGTTTTGGTCTTTTCTTTTCTTTCTTTTCTTTTTCCAGCAACATAGGTTCTTACATTTTTTGTTCTCTTTTATCTCTTCTGCCTGACTTTTCCCCCTTTTTTCCTTTTTTTTTTTTTCTCTCCAGCTCTCCTTCTCTCCCTCTCTACGGCGAACAGGTTTGTTTTCGCAAACTGTATTCTGTGTCCCCTTTCTGTGTTTTCTTTTTCTGTTTTTATTTCGAGATTCATGTACTTTTTCTTATCAAGAATAGGGGCTGATTTTTCTCATCTTGAACTATGAGGTTTACCTTCTCCTTTTTCCGGAATATCCTCGTACGATATTTCCCCCTTTTTTCTTTTTTCATTTTCATTTTTTTCAATTTTTTTTTTCTTCATATATGGTAGTAGTACCGGTATATTGTCCAGTAGTAGTACCCTCCCCCTTCATTGTGGAAAGTACAGACTCTAGATGTCGACAACAGCCGAGAACATTAAACACAGGGAGCAACAGCCGGGACCACAAGAATACAGTTTGCGAAAACAAACCTGTTCGTCGTAGAACAGCCTACAAAGAGGTACCTAGGTCCGTACTGTAGCTCGGCATCTGTGAGTAGTGCTAGCATCAACCTTGCGCAGTACTTAGTATATTGCAAGGTCGCCTTTCCGGAGGAGACATTCCCAAGTTATTGAGGCGCAATATATATGTATATGTATATATATACAACAATCGGGTGCGGGGGTTTGTTGTAACTAGCCCGTTTTAAGTTTTCGCTCCTCCAACGCACCTAAATATCTGACGATTTGCACTCAGCCCTGGTAGACAAGTAACGTCAACATCCTGCTTCTCTCTGTTTATCGTCTGACTCTCATAAACCGCTTCATCGTCTACCCGAACATGGCGCAATGTATGAAGGTCAGAATTCGCCCCATCTGATCGGCTTCGTTCCGACGAGTATGTTCACATATATCGCCTTGAGGAAAATAAGGTTGCGGATCTATGTATGCCAGCTTGTGCAAGCGGGAGCAATGCGCCTCGTTTGCGATTATACCTTGTTGCCATTTTCCTAAGATATACGATGCATATGTTGACGAATCTGCAGATCGCGGGGGTCGTCACTATGGACTACATTCCAAGGCAGCGTCCTGCGAGGTGTTTGGGACAACCCGACCAGCGAACAGCAATCAACCACCATTCTGGGTCAACCAGAGGTAATACATGGAAAAGCTACATTTCCTCGAGGGTAGCTTTATGGCCAAGCTGATAGTTCTCCTTGCTATGACCCTTCGTTTTGTGTTGGCGAGGAATCGGTTTTGGGCCCTATGGAACGGAGTCGGAGTTTTAACGAGCGGCCTAAATATCAAAGCCGTGAAGCTCGCACAAGACAACCTCTTGGGTGTGGACCACGTCGCCAGCTTTGTACGGGTTCAGCCACCTCACAGTATTGTTTTCACGCACGGCGACATAGCCTCTAGCAATATTCTCATTCATGGGGATTCAAATGGTTGCGATGTTGGATTGGCAAATGGCAGGATTCTACCCGGAATACTGGGAGTAATATCCAGGCATTGTTTGGTTACCCCGACTGGCAAAGCATTGATTAACTACGTAGGGTGCTGTGGACAAGGGTCGTGCAGCCCCTGGCCACTTGAACCATGCCGTTCTTCTGCATCTACAACAGATCGTTCAAGGTTGATAGCCCGCGCCTACATCGCAGGTAACCGGACGTGATTAAGTCGCGCAACATATTCCATTGTCTGTTCGTTCATCGGTGAGAAAGTTCAATTTCCAGACGAATTTCACATCTACTCCCAAAGTCGTACGTATCTTCCTCGAAACGATTTGCTATTAAGGGCCATGCAAGTAAGCCAAAACCCATGATATTCGGTAACTGGTACAACCATGGTGGGCATTCCTACATTGTCCTCCCCGCCTCCGGTACATATTGAAAGATAGCGAGAATATCAGTAGTAGTAGTAGTGATTGAAAGTAGCTTGGCCCCTGCAAGTTATATATATATATATATATATATGAAAATAGTACATATTTAATCTGTTGATTCTTCATTTGCATTCTCATGTTTTGCCTTGGAGTTTTCAATAACTAACTACTGTGTAAGATCTAATTTAAGTAAAGAAGAATTTGGAATTAAACTCCTTGGTGTTTATGCATACAATCTAATTTATAGTCGGCCCCCTTCGTCCAGTGATTCATATAACGCGAGTTAATTTGTCAATGCATAACTGAAGGCAATTCATACACTGATCTCATATGGGATCGAGGTCCGCCCATTTGACCAAAGACACAACAGCAATCCCCTTTGCTTTTACGTTGCCATTTTGTTGTTGCCTACGGGACGCATGTCGATTCACATATGGGGAAAATGGTTGGCAGTATATCAAGCTGGCGCCCGAAATCCCCGACAACCCCAATCAAAAAGCTAAAGGTAACAATGCATGCACATTTAGGGGGATAGGCACGTTCAGTCACCGGCAATAGAAGCCGTGGCCAGACCGGAAATACGGAAAGTTGTTGTCATGTCGAATTTGCACTCATTCCTTAGTTACCGGCATCTTCGACCCAGTAAAGCCAAAAGACATTCACCTGATACCAATGCTACTACATTCGTGGAGACTCCCGCGTTCTTAATGGGACACAGCGGGGGAGGCGCGGAATGTCTCTACTACGTCCTCAACTCGTCTGTGGAACTTCCTCCCATTCGCGCGAGTTCTGGCATTTGCGCCCCTTTATTGCTCTTCACTCCAGCACCCGTCCGTGGAACACATCGCAATTTTTCCTGGGCAGGCTGGAGCGGAGGAAGGATCCTCTGTGTCCTGATATGGGGACACTGGACGGATTGGGAGGTATGCTGGATCGAGGGTTGTGGTTAGAGAGCGAGCAGGTTGAGGAAAGTGACAAGTTGAAAAGGACCAATATGGCGCAGGTCATGGCTCTGCGGACGAGGTTGATTGTTACGAAGCCAGCCGTTGCTTTGTGGAGCGACTCAAGTTGGATGAAAAGACTTTTTAAAGTCTTATGAGAGCGCGTATCACAAGCTTCAATGCGGTGCCAGAAGTGGTGAAAGTTGATTATGAGGGGCTGTTCTGGAAAACGGGAAGTAATTCGTCAGTTTTGAATTGTTGTCCCGTATTTTTTGCATGGCAGTCTGGTACCGTGTGATTTCCCGAGACGATTCCAAATATATCAACTATGTTCTATTTATGCTACCTAAGGTTTCTTTTTTTTTTTTTCTTTCGCCATACACCCACAAAACCACCACCGGCTATTCTTCTGCCAGCCTGGGGTCTGCAAACAAGCACCTGCTCTCCTTTCTTATCCCTTTGGGCGACAGGGATGATAGTCTCCTCTACCGCACCATCAGTGGGATCTTCGGACATCTCATGCGGAGGTTCGTTTGCCATTTCTTCCTCCTCTAAGCAGTTACTCCTTTTTCTCTTCGTGGTTATACGGATATCCCAGAGCCTTCCGTTGCTAATTCCAGTACCCAACTCGACGATCTTTTCCTGAAAAAATGGCAAATTCTGCCTTTGTATAATATCCACGCACTCTGCAAGCTGTGTTACATTCGGCATGAAAATGAGCAAAACCGCATCATCTCTCATGACTGGGGTGACATGGGGAATTCGCAGGTGTGCAGAGGGCATGTCAAGGATGACATGTGATAGGAACGGATCCAGAGTCCCATCTTTGGCTGAACGGCGAGCTGCCTGTTCCTTGACCCAGTGTTCAACTCTAGAAACGTAGAAGTCGACGTTCCCTACGTATATTCCCCGGCGAAATCCGCGGACGATATTCTCAGCGTGCTTGGAGTAAACGGGAGATACATCTACGGTATGGACAACGGCGTTGCGCTGAGCACACCACGCATCCCATTTCCGCTGGATCTCCGCATCCTCAGCCGGAACCTCGCTTTCCCTCTTCTCCTTCTTTATGCCAGTTTTCTTGGTTTCTGGTTGCTCGAGAATGTGGCATTGAGAGCGGCGGGGGCGGGTGGGTGGCCGGGTGTTTGCCGCATTTATAGCTCGGGCTAGGTGCAATGTCAATGATCCATGGCCCGTTCCCGCTTCGAGTATCTCCAGAGGCTCATCTCGTTCCTCTTCGCTAGCCGAGGGCACGGCATGGATATCCAAGTACGATACTATTAAATTTGCGTCTGCGGGATAAACCTTGTCACCAAGGAAGTCAAAAACTGGGGTAAATTTATTTTTATTCTATCAAGGTAGCTTGCCAAGGAGGGGGCTGTAGCTGTAGTAGCGGGGCTTCTTATTGACATACAGGAGTGACATGACGTGGAGAGAGGACAATATAGTCTTCAAGTGTGGGCTGGGTTACCCTTAACAAGGAGCCTTTATATAATTTTTTTTTTTTTTTTTTTGGAAATTGGTCAGTGGTTATTCCTGGAACAAAGTAGGCTTTCCATTAACGTAATAAAAGATTGATCCATAACAAACCTTTTGTAGTCCTTACAGCATCTCGGGATTGTTTTCCAATAATATCGTCATGTTTTAGGGTGCCATTGGCTACTGTTGTCTGGTCGTCCTTCTTCAGCGGTTTGGTTAAGACGGGGTTTTTGGAATTGATAATGACTCTGTCTCCCTCTATAACAATTAATGGATATGGATTAGCCGAGCTATCTATATTTTTAAGTATCTCAGGAATAGGGAACTGAAAGCACCTTGAAAAACGAAGGGCTTTGAACCTAGTGTTCCGCTGCTATATGCTCGAGTGCAGACGCGGCGCAGGGGCGCAAAGAGTCTTGCCATTCAATTAGAGGTTTAAGGAACTAGTAAATATGGACACCAGAGTCGCTCAAGGCAAGGGCCGCAAGTCTACCGTACAAAACGTAAAATAAAATGAATAAATGAATATTAATACAGACATTGGGAAAAAAGGCGATCAACCTAGCATTTGTTAGTTAAGTTTTCGTTGCAGCTTGGAGGCTAAGCAGAGGCAGGGAAATAGTAATCCCGGAGCCGCATAGCCAACTTAGCTTCAATACCCAGCAGCAGCTTTGGGTAGCAGAAGTTAATTAAGTTAACCTTCTGACTGACGTCTTGACAAAGACCCAGGAACGTCCAACTACGGGAGCCTATTCATCCACTTGTCTTCGTCACAACCCTGTGCCTCTATATCTCTGTCGGTGTTGCTCTCTCGGCTTTGAGTTCTACCAGGCTCTTCGGATTTGCACCATGCCCAAGGGTCTCTTACTGACCCCCCATCCCTTGGCAGGCTACTACAATACGGCTTGCTGACTGGTAGCAAGCTGGTGAACCATGGTGACACGTCGAATTGTAGGTTACTCTCAAGTCAACTATTATTTGGTCGTGGCCGCATTGCTGATAGTGTATTTGTTCAGGTTCGATCCGGCGTCCAACTGGGCTTGCTGGTTCTCATCATCCTGTTTACCATCTTAATCCTCGACAACGAGCTAGGGTTCTTGCCCGCCTCAATCCACGACCGCCTCCCTACTCATCACCCGGGGCTTGTTATTACAGATGTTACTGTCGCAACATGCTCGACCCTGAACATATTTTCCAGCTGTACTCTCGATCCGCAGATATGGCATCGAGTCGAGAAGGACCTTTACCTGGGGCAGGGTTGGACGTCGAGAGCTTATTTGCATATGCAAAGGAAAAAAGAGGAGGATCTTCTTCCAACCGATTTGGTTGTAGTTGACCTAAGAATGGGGCGACTTGACCCTGGCGCTGGAAAAGATTCGAAGTGGGAGTCAAGACCTGCGGGTATCTGGCTTCTGAGAGTCGGTCGAAGCAATTCTGGAGACCCCCAAAAGGTCATTACCTCGTTGGATGTGCTTTTTGGTCCCGATGCTGCAGATCCTCGTCCCGGCTGGGAAGTGAAGGATACGCCACTTTTGCTGGATACCAAGAGTGAAGCACGTTTGACCATTAGAAGGGGACAAGCTGCCAAGGTTGAACGACCAGCTCCGAGAATTCGAAAAGATGGGAAATTCAAGATAATGCAGGTTTCAGATCTCCATATAAGCACAGGGCTTGGAAATTGCCGGGACCCTGTCCCACCATTGCCCGACGAAAGCAAATGTGAAGCGGATCCTCGTTCCCTGGAGTTCCTTGATAGGTTGCTCGAGGAAGAAAAGCCCGACTTGGTTGTGTTATCTGGAGACCAAGTTAATGGCGAGACAGCGCCCGACACGGAGACAGCGATATATAAATATGCGGACATTTTCATCAAGTACCGTGTCCCGTTCGCCGTTATATTTGGAAATCACGATGACGAGGGTAGTCTAGATCGATCACAGTCTATGGCTGTCATCCAGCAGTTGCCATACTCCTTGTCTGAGCCTGGACCTGTCGATGTTGATGGCGTGGGCAACTATATTGTTGAAGTTCTCGACCGTACTTCATCACACTCAGCTCTAACACTTTATCTTTTGGACACTCATAGTTACTCTCCGGATGAGCGCCAATTCCGTGGATATGATTGGCTAAAGCACAGCCAGATCGAGTGGTTCAAATCCACCTCCCGAAGACTTCAGAAATCCCACCGTGAATACACTCATATCCATATGAACCTAGCGTTCATTCACATCCCACTCCCAGAATACCGAAACTCAAAGAACTATTACCAAGGCAACTGGATAGAAGCACCAACAGCTCCACTATTTAATTCGGGCTTTAAGGATGCACTAGTTAGTGAGAATGTTGTTGTTGTAGGCTGTGGACAGTAAGTCGTGACCAATAATTACCCCATACGAGGTTATCTCCTCATCTTCCATCGGTTTACTCCGGAACTCTATGACTAACACGGGTTTCTGTCTCTTACAATAGCGACCATGTGAACGACTACTGTATGCTAGAGAATAATGCTAATTCACATCCATCGCTGTGGATGTGCTATGCCGGTGGCTCCGGCTTTGGCGGGTATGGTGGATACGGCGGTTACATCCGCCGAGTTCGATTCTTCGACATCGATATGAACTCTGCTCGAATAATGACCTATAAGCGACTTGAATCTGGTGACACAAAGTCCAGAATTGACGAGATGATGATTGTTGACGGTGGTAAAGTCGTCAAATCATGATTTATCACCCATTAATTGCTTGTTTCTCCTTTAAAGTTGTCTTGCACGACATGTGTACCAAAACATAGGCGTTGGAATCCAAGGTGTTTCCCCCTTTTATTAACTTGTTTCCCACGTTTCATTTCATCACCCTTATGACCTATTGTATCCGTGAAGTTGATTTCCCTGTTCTTTTCTTCCTCTGTTCATGCTATTTGTTTTTCGCTTGGCTAATACCATATATAATTCCCGTATTCATTATTTCTTTGATTTTCTTCCATCTTTTCCTCTAATTCCTTCTATCCAAAGTCTGAACATTGCTCCTAAAATCATCTTTGAGTTGTTTCCCTACATTTGCCTTGTTTTCATTGCGCTCCTGTTTCCATCTTTCTCTCCCAAAACAGAGGCGGCTTCTTTTAAGGCAACACTCTCATTCTATCTGTGTTTGTGCGTTTACCCTCCCGATTCTCTTCTCTAGACTCCATCCATGGCATTATATGTCATGAAGAGCTTTATACGAGGCAACGTTTATGATTCCACTCTTTATTACTCCTATTCCTGCAATTATTTATTTCAGCATCCCGTGTTTTGTCTTCCATATTATTGTGTCTAATGGTCATTCCATTCTACTTCTATCTTCAACTTACAACAGCACCTGTATATGAGGAAGAAAGAAAATAAGACGCTACAGACACGAAAAGCAGCTCAACCAATACCGTCCCCCAATAATTTCCGGCAAGTTCAGAGATCCAGTCTTCCAACTTACCACCACTTCTCATAGAATATTCTCTTCTCCCCCTCCTCCCCGGTTCCAATGATCTCTTCAGCACCGGCAACAAACTCATCGGTCATACCCGGCGGCCCACAGATGTAGCACACCGTTCGTTCACCCCGTGAGCTGTATTCGTTTCCAGCAGCGGTCTGTTCCCCTCTGATAACCTTGTGAAGATCCGCCATCGTTATGCGGTAATTGTGTAACGAGATATCCTCTGGTGGAACGTAGGGTGTGTTGGGGAGGTTGGTGATATAGAGATGGAGATGGAAGACGGGAGTTTGTTCCCGTTGCTGCTGCCGCAGGTGACGTTGTGAATTGAGAATATTCCGGAGACGTGGAAAGAAGAGTATTTGGTCCAAATGATTCGATATATCTTCACCCTCCTTGGGTGTGGTGGGAAGTCTTGTTGAGTAGAGTAGATTGACAGTTGATGAGTGGGGTAATGTCCAAGGGTTTTGGAAGATGTGTGCTAGCATTGAGATTAATGGGCTATATGGTGTGAAGTAGGTTAGCGCCTCCTCTCATTTGATCATTTTGGGTGTAGTTGTTTTTTTCCCCATTGATTTAACTTTGTGAATCAGAAAAAGGGATCTGGACATGATTTTTGGGGCGATTTATTACGACAATGTTGCTGCAAGACGAAATTCCCCTCTCCCCCTTTAAAGGAGCAAGTGAACAGGCGAAAAAAACATCACATCCGAAACCCGCCGAGTAAGAAAGAAAGGATAGGTGAATTAATTAGAAAACAAAAGAAGGAAATAATTTTTCGACCTACTTAATCCCTACTCCTCCCGCCACAAATACTGCCCTCCCAATCTCCTCCAGGGGAATATTAGGTGGCGGCCATATAAACCTTCCACCAACCCGTACCTCGAACTCCTGTCCAAGAATCGCATCCCTGGGCTGCCAAAACCAAGCAGCAGGCGGGCTGGAGAGCGATTTTTGAATAGCGAGTTCTACGTACGGTTCCTCCACGACTGCATTGCTACTTCTGCCCCTTCTTGGTGGCAATGCATCCTTGGGCGTGGAGGTTATGGTGAAGCCGCCCGCTTGCGGTATGGAAGGGAGGTAGACATCGAGCCACTGGCCAGGGAGGAATTGGAACAATGGCTGTGACCAAGCGCGATTGGGCTATATATAGTGGAAATCGCAGAGTCCATTATTTGTTGGTTAGATTTTAATACTCATAATCAACCCTTAAATACATTCCCTCTACAAGCAATGACTTGTGGAGCTGGGTACAAATCAGATAAAAGGTTGGTTGGTTCTCAGCATACTTCGTAATCATTCTGTTGAGCTCCCGTATCTTCACAACCACTGGGCCCTACAGCCAGCTGCAAGAGGCGGACATCTGAGTTTGCCTGTACTATCTTAGACAGGCGGACTTTATAAAGCCTATTCTGCCTTGGTTCCTCTGAGGTGCGCAGTTCGTGTGGAGCCCTGGCGGTGCTCATGGCGTATTTTGCACTGGTTAAAGTGCGGAACTTGATAGTTATACTGGATGATGGAACCAGGAGAGTCGATCTTATTCAACCCCTTCTGTAGAATGTGTAGTTAACGAACGTAATCCACGCCGGGTCGAAAACATCTAGTTATTAATCAGCTGATCTAGCTAGAGCTTGATTTGATAGAACCGAGTGAATTCTGTGTATTCTCTCATGTTATACAATCATTCAATTGATTCTGTAAAGTGATAGAGAGAATGCCATATAAGCTCGCAGATTTCTTAATGCTTGAGATCTGGCCATTTTCTAATGCAATCAACCAGATGATGGATTACATTAATAAACTCATTAATACTCAACTAATAACCAGTAAACAAGTTTAGTTATTGAGGGGAGAGTTCCATACACTATGAGCGATCACGTGCGCGGGGCGAGCCCAACAATTCTCAGCTGAATGACAGCCAGAGGAATCCATCCCGTTGTATTTTAGATATGTGCATTTGAAGCTTGTCATATATCGACGGCAGGTTGGTAACCTCAAGTATTGCAATTGTTTGCATGAACATGGAGGAAATCTTCTTGAATTGATAGGACAGCGACCAGCTAGCTGATCTCACATCATCATCGCCAAATAACTATGTATCTGTGGGCAAGGGGCCAGGGCTGGCAGGGCTGTTCAGAATCCACAGAAAGAATCCAGAACATTTGAACTGAGCATCGTAAGGTTGCGGGGTTGATGGGTCAGTTAGAACCCAACTTGGTGGCAGTGATTGTGGATTTGTCTCATCTTGCAAGCAATAACTACTGATCTTCAAGCGATAATGTAACAGTTGACCATCAGCACTTCTTCTTAATGCTGATAAACACCTCAAGTTTCTGGATAACTAAAGCAAACAACCTCACCAAAGAAGGGCATAACCTCAAAGACGACCTTGGTGACAGTATCACAATCTAAGCATTTCGCCTGTTAAACGCCCGGCGACGTGCCGCGGCGCTGGGACGGCTTTGTGAATTGTGACAAGATCTTGAATCCAATTATCATTCATGAAAGCCATTTGTACGACTGATCAATCATAGGCTGCAACTCTGATTTGCACCGCATAAGTGAGAGGAGATAGCGTCGAGCGATGGGGTGAGTAGCGTGTGATGGCATGCAGCAATATCCAAGAGTCTAGCCTGTCATTGGTGGAACTGATCGTCATCGTCACATCCAGGACCTGCTGAAGTCTTGGTTATCCTGCATCGCACTGGACCGGACCACGGTCGTGCAGGTGTTTGCCTCCACACCCCTTCCCGCCCACTCATGGGCTTTGACAGTCGCATCACTTGTCTGGTCCTGCGACCTTGGGCTGCTAGGTGTTGGAATCTGCTGTGGTGGTGGTGGAGCGAATTGACTATTTCGCCCGTCCAAACCCTTCATTCTGCGGCTATTTACCTTGGCGACCAGCTAGAGTCCGACATATTATCCCTCGACCTAGATGAGGGATTGGAGGAGGAGGTTCTGCTTGTCTCCAGCAGAGTAGAAGAGAACTTTATGAACCATGCATGCATGCATGGACTCTGATCTTCTCACCTTTATTTTTCCTGTCCCAACACACCCAGCTTCTTCCCCTCTCTCCTTTCCCCTTCTATTCTCTCGTCTCTCCCTTGCAAATCGATCTGATCTTTATGCGTCGCTGCAAGTGAAGTTAACAGTTGATATGAACCTCCTGCCAGCAGGCCTGGCTTGAAGAGACCAGCCGTTCCTCCGTTGTACCTTGCATCGCATCCAGGATTCATTCTGACCACTGAATGCCCAGTAGAATATCTGTTAATTCGAACACCCAAGATACGTTCTGGGTGTCCATATTGGCATTGCCAAAACCTCCCAACCACCGTCGTTGCTAGCCCCATCCATCTTCTCTCTTCGTCACTGCAAAAGGAGTCATGATGTTGTGGTATTTGCCTCGAAAGTACCGACCTCCCATCCTATTCAAGATCTTACTCGGAATCGAACTTCCTGTCACTATCGCGCTTCTCGCGCTGTTCGGCGTAGCATCTCCAGATCTATACAGAACAAGACTTTGGCAAGATGGGGCAGACAATGGTTTCAACAGCAGCCCAGATGACAAGGTTTACGCCGCCGCAAACTATCGCCCATACAACACACCTAAGCCTTGGAGTGAATTGTATGTCTGAAGATTTATTCGAACTACTTTTTATTCCGTTATATTATCCAATTCTTATTTCAGTCACAATTCTGATTATCCATATGATGTTAGCACAACGAACTTCAACTTAGTCATATCGGTGCTGAGCCTGTTCTTCATGCTCGTCAAAGCGCCGCTGTTTATCCTCCATGTTTTCTACCCACCGCTGTCTGTATTCGTGCACATAGCATTAACTGTGCTCTACTCGATTTCGATCGTGCGTCAAGCGTCCTCGGATATGATGGATCCAAAACACCCGCAGCCGGGCGCACCGTGGTATCTCACAAAGAGCTGTAGTGTTGCCAAGCGTCCTTCCAATATAGGCTATTGCCAGCAGGCCAAAGGGGCATTTGCCTGTACCGTGATAATGCTGTATGTTACCGGTTTTTCTTAAAGTTTGCCTCTTGAAAAGAACCGTCTCTTCTTTCCATCGAGATATCAATAGCAAGCAAAAGAGCCATATGTATCAATCGCACTAACACTCCTCACAGTGCAATATTCTTTATCCACGTTGGCTATGCTGTCTTCTCTTGCCTTCCCACCGATGAGACCAGAGACAAGCAAAGGCGAAGATTACAACGCCGTCAGGATCTTGAGGATCTCAAAAGCCTCAAATCCCCCGTCTACCCAATGTACCCTCCCATGACTCCTGGAGGTTCTGCTCTACCACCAATGACCCCGCGCACCCAGGCCTTTAACCGTCTGGGAGGGACCACAGATCTGCCTCTAAGAAACCATTTCCTCCCTCCCGAAGGGCCTAACAGTCATCAGATGAATTTCAGCATGCCTTCGACTTCCAATAGTTCTACACCCCCGCCAGGGAACGGACCTGCAACAACGGGAACCCCCTCGCGCAATGGAACCCCTGTGCTAAATGGAAACTCAAGCGCAAATGGGCAAAAACAGCCACCGATGTATTTCCCGCCGCCGCCAAATCAGACAAGTAAGTAAGCGAGGGTCTGGATCCAAGGAAAGAGTTTTTGTTTTTCTTGGGGCTGACAGGACGGATCATTGCACCGGGGTAGCTTGGTCTGCTTAGTTGATTGCTCTCTTCCAACCTTACTTTGCCTTGGTATCGTAGGAGGGAAGAGTGTGAAGCGATGACATACCCTTCCTTCTTTTATTTTTATTTTTTATTTTTTTATATTTTTTATTTCTAATTTTCATTTGGTCCGCTTTTGCCCTACTCCAGGTTTTATTTATTCACATTATAATTGCTCAAGTTACCCAATGGTGCTCGGTTTTATTTCTACCAACATATATATAACTTATTCCACGCTTTGTCCGTCTCCCTCGGTCCAGTTATTCTTTTTCTTTTTTTTTTTTTTTCGTTTTGGATGCCAATAATAACTGTATACTCTACTCTCACGTTGGGAAAGGGGAAAAATCTAAAAATCAATTCTGAATAAAGGAACTATGGCCATTCACCTACCTCCGTACGAAGTACTATATGCGTATTTTTGTTTAGGCTAGCCATGAAAGTGTAATTTCATTTCTGTGTTGTAGCGAACTTCGTTTCTGTCTCATGAGGAGTCAATTATGCAATTGTGAAGATATCATGTAGCACACAGGGCAAGACAAACCGCCCTCCAAGGTAAAACACAGAGCAATCCTGGGGGTCGAAAATAAATGTGATGGTACGCTTTGGCTCAATAACTACCAAGGCACCTTGGTAACAATCCAACGAGGTAGCGTTAAGAGATCCCTCTTCCACCAACATATAGCGAAATTGGTACCGCCAGAAGGACATATATGTACACTGTTATAAAATAAAAGTTGATAATTATTTGAAAGCTTTATTTCACCAACGGATTTAGAAGACGAGAAATTTTAAACACAAGGAATCCAGGAAAAGAAAAAACAGAACTATCCACAGAGGAAAAGGAGAAGGGTATTTATAAGACAAAGGGAATCCAGCTCCGAGAGAACGGCGCTGCGAAAAATGGGAATTGACCATGGAAAGCGATAAGAAAACCCAATCAATAAAAGTAAAGACATGATATTAAAACTTCAAGTTGCCAGGGAAAAAATAGTCAAAGGGAGAAATCTATACAGAAACAGGCTCAACAGTCCTCAAAGGCACGTATCCCTCATCGTCAACAGCGGCCCTCCGCTTCCCGGTAATGTTAGTTATGGCATCTGAAACAACAGCAACGAACCACGCAAAACCCCGTCGAGCTCGACTTCTTCCGTCATTTGCAAACGGACTCTTTCTCCACCAGGACCCGCGCCCAGCACGGCCCAGGCCAGTATTGTCGATCAAACCCAGCTCAACTTCCCGCTCCAGTTTCTCAACGTTCAGCCAACCAGGCCGCTTCCAAAACTTCAAGAGCAAACTGCTGACGACGACACTAACGCTTGACGCGGCCATTGCGGCGCCTGCTGCCATGGGATGTAATGAGATTCCACCAAAGGGGAGAAATAGGCCCATGGCGAATGGTATGCCGATGGCATTATATAGACAGGCCCACAGAAGGTTAAGTTTGATGCGGCGGAAAATTGAGTGGGAGAGACAGAGACTTGCGGGGACGGAGAGGAGGTCGTCGGACCGCATTAGGACGATATCAGCTGCCTCGATGGCTACGTCCGTGCCAGAGGCGAGAGCTATGCCGACTGAGGCGGTGGCGAGGGCTGGGGAGTCATTGATGCCATCTCCTACCATTGCAACGATGGTTGAGGGGTTTTTTTGGAGGGAGGCGATGATGGATTGTTTTTCGGAGGGGGTGACGGAGGCGTGGACTGAAGAGGCAGGAATGCCAACGGCTGAGGCCACTGCAATTGCAGTGTTGTAGGAGTCGCCTGTTATAAGGGACGTCGTCAGACCCATTCGATGAAGGGCGGCTACGGCAGCTGTTGCTGTTGGTTTCAATGTATCTTGGAGCGTGATTGTGCCAGCGTATTTACCGTCGATGGCAACATGGATTAGCGTGGATCCAGTTGTACCTTCGCTATCTTTTCTCGGTTGGGTGGATATTGCAGTCGTGGTTTTGACAGGTTGGAAGTCGGAACCCGCTGATTTGGGAACAGGTATATTCCTGGAACGCAAAAAGGGTGCGTTCCCGACAAGGACACGGTGTCGAACACTGTCATCCTTTGCCGTGGGTTCAACTATAGCAGAAACTCCTTTCCCCACAGCTGCTTCGAAATCGGCCACGCTGCCGTCGAGTGGTTTGTCATCTAGCGCTCCAACTTCGTGCCTGGCCTTTGCGAGAATGGCTTTGCCAATGGGATGTTCACTGGTTAGCTCAGCAAGACCAACGATCGACCACCATAGACGACGACTCCAGTCGTTGAAAGACCAGGCTGGGTCCAATTTAGCCTCTACCACACTCATTTTACCCATAGTCAATGTCCCCGTTTTGTCAAACACGACATGGTTTACTTTAGTTGCTTCTTCCAAAGCCGCTCCACCTTTGACTAAGATTCCATGCTCTGCACCGACACCAGTCCCTACCATGACAGCAGTCGGGGTACTGAGCCCAAGAGCACAGGGACATGCAAAAACAATAACGGATATGCAAAGCTTCAAGCAGACCATGAAGGTCCCGCCACTTCCATTGGCAAGGAAGATCTGTGGTGGGTGGGGAAGAACGTGGCTAAGGATCATCCACCCAACAAATGTGATCACTCCAAGGCTAATGATGGTTGGAACAAAATAACCAGCAACTATATCAGCCATTCTTTGAATTGGAGCACGACTTGTTTGCGCGTCTTGGACTAGTTTCACTATCTGGCTTAATTGCGTATCCCGACCAGCCCTAGTAACGCGAAAATCAACCCAGCCAGAGCCATTGACTGTCCCAGCCATCACTTGGTGGCTCTTGATCTTTCGAATAGGAATAGCTTCGCCGGTAATCATGCTCTCGTCGATATAGCTCTCACCTCGAATAACGACTCCATCCGCGGGAACTTTGTCACCGGGTCGTAGACAGACAATATCGCCAACCTGAATCAGTTCCGTAGGGATAGTCTTCTGGCCAGTCGACACCGTGGCATGGAATGTCTTGTCATTTTCGATTGGTTCCGACGCCTTAGAGTTCCATCCTTCAGCAAGTTTTTCTGCCGCTATAGGATCATCGTATATTGTTGCCATAGAAGGAGCAAGGGACATCAAACGAGACAAGGCACGAGATGTCTGGCCCTTCGCTCTGTTTTCTAGCCACCGACCAAGAGAAATGAATGTAATGAGCATAGTGCTGGTTTCAAAAACGGTCATTGGTCGAGAGTGAGGTTCGAAGCATACCGACACTAACATTGCGAGAACGCTGAAAAAGAAAGCTGCAGAGGTACCAAGCATGACCAGTACATCCATTGTTGGGGAGCCATGCTTTAGTGATTTGAAAGAAGATGAATAAAACCGTTTCCCGATGCCAAATTGAACAGGAATGGTAAGGAGCAGGCAAATAATTTCCCTGGAAAATAAGCCAGGAATAAGCTCGAACTTCCCGATATCGATAGCCGGAAGATACATTGGAATAAACATGGAGACCAACATCACAGGAACTGCAAAGGAAAAAGAGAACCAAAACGCTCTCCGCCACTCTTGAATCTCTTTTGTCTTGGCGAGGGATTCAAGCTGGGCATTGCTATCGTCTGACTCCGCTAATAGCGCGTTGTATCCTGCCCGTTCAACAATGTCAACCAGTGCACGAATCCCCAGTCGGGAAGGGGAGTATGTGATAGAAGCACGGGAAGTAGATAGTTTGACATCCGCGGATAGGACGCCGTCCGTTCCTTTAAGTATGTTCTCCAGGTCCGTAGCCGCTGTTGCGTCTGCCAAGCCATAGATATTGAACGTCAATAATGCTGACGTGTGGGGCAGGATGCTGTCGTCTTCTTGAGAAGAGACAATGCGCACATCAAAACCGGCTCCCTGTATCAGTTCGGTAATCGTCATTGCGGGTAGGATTGAAGGATCATGAACTGCTGTAGCACGTTCGGCTAGGAGACTGACATTGAAACGAAACAATCCAGGCTGGTTTCTAAGCGCATTCTTGACTGCGGAAGTACAGGCTCCGCAAGTCATTCCTTCAATAGACATGGTTGTAGTGACGCGGTTTGCTTTTCTCCTGGATACAGATTTGCCTCGTGATGAAGTCGATTTCTGCTGTGTCGTCTTGCTCTCCAAGACTTTGGCTTCAAAGCCACGATCTTCAATGATTTCAGCGATTCTCTCCGGAGGGATTAGGGATGTATCATGCTCCACAACTGCACATTCGGACAGTAGTGACACTGTTACGGAATTGACGCCAGGTATATTCGCCAAACCTCCTTCCACTGCAGACGTACAAGAGCTGCAAGTCATCCCTCCGACTCGAAGGGTCGTAGTTGTGATAGACGGCATATCGGGGTCGATATCAAGAAAGCAACTCTCACCTTGTCCTCCGACCTCTCTCGAGCCCTGGCGCTGCAGATCCGTAGCCAAAATTGTAGCGTCAAACCCGCGATCTTTTATCATCTCCACAACCGTTTCCGCGGAGAGAACTAGAGGATCGTGGTGAACCACGGCGCGGCCCATCATCAAGCTCACGGAGACAGCTCCTGCACCCTCGACGCCCTTAAAAGCAGATTCGACAGCGGAGGTACACGCGCCACAGGTCATTCCATCCACGCTGAGGGTTGTAGTCGCCATATGGGCGGGATGGCGAGGGCCCTCTGAGACGAGGTCAAGGTCATTTCTTTGCAGAAGAGGAGCAGAGGATGATGTCATGGTATGCAAAGAAGAAGACTCGAATTTCCGTCCGTGTAGTCCAAGACTGGAGTGTTTAATTCATGCCGACGAGAAAACGCGGTAGGTTAGTAGGATATTCTGGGGGGAGGGGGATATTCTGGGAGAGGGGGGGTTGGGAGCTGAGGGAGGCTGAAAAAAATGTTTCACCCCAAACACCCGTGACACAGACAAGTTGTGCTTTTCGTTATCGTGGGCAACGGTCAGCTTTTGGGTAACGAGAGATGCAGCGCGGGGTGGGGGAAGAAATTAATGAACCAGGGGGGGAAATGTGGCCATAACCAAATCGATCTCTATCCCACAATCGAGCGAGCGGATGTCACCGCTCGATGCTTAGATGGGAACAAACTGTGGTTGCATTCTGGGCCCCTGATTGGCTGAGACGCTGTACACAAACAGTAAGGGAAGACGAGATCAAAAGAGGTTTAGCGTAACGACTGTCGCAGCACGGATTATTAAGCAACCTTAACTTATTTAGTTAGTTGGTTACCAACGGACAAGAAAACTGTTCACTGGTTTGACCCGTTGCAAAACCAGCCCCTCAACGATAAAAATAGAAGCAAACATGGCGTTGAATGAAAAAGTCAGGCGGCCTTAAATATATCTCCAGCTCCAATGAACGTTTCTTCTGTTGATTATGTTTTCTGGGAGGAAGATGAATACCTTGGATCATAAAGGTGCGTGCCAATATCTATCTACATTTACATGGACCGCAGCTCACCAGGCGAGGCAGCGGAATGGAGATATTGAGGCCATGCTTTGATTTTTCTCATTGATAGAGCCACCACCCTTCAATCTTCCAGTTAGTAACTCGGAACAGCGGAATCACAAATTTCTGATTCAGCTGTCAACGTGGTGGTTAGGTGTACTTGATTGTGTTACGATTATGATGTCGACGCCCCTTATTTCCCCAGGCTCTTCCAGGCGAGGGAGGCGTCCTCGGTCTGTAATGTTTTGCTCCCCCCAAAGTCCTGCCATGGGCGGCCATCACTGAAGCTATTTTGCCTGCTTTTTTTTTTTTCCCCAATGGAGTAGGATAGCTCTTCTCTCAACATGCAGAGTCAATGTTCTTCGATCTTGAACACAATAGAATGAAATGAATAGGAGAGTCGTTCATGATGAAACCCAATTTGTTCCGCGTCAGTTTGCACGGTGCCCCCTGCAAACCCTGCAAACTATGCAAACTATGCAAACTATTCAAACTGCCCAGTAACTTCACCGAAGGACTCCCTCCACTCTGCCGCATGCATCATCTCACCCAGATAGGTGGGGATGGAATTTGAAGCAGCCCGACCATTTCTGTCTTCTGATGCAATAGCTCATTCTGGTAGTGTGCCTTGTGGGGTAATCCCAACGACCGCTTAGTACGCTCAGCAACCTCCCGCGTCCTTTGACATTATTGATGGTTGCAAGGAGATCACTGATCGTAGCAAACGTGTAGGTAGCGCGCGCGCATATATCCCAAAGATCAGCTCAGCTGGCATAGACAAACCATACAGTCAGCGTAAAATAATTGCTGCGTTCGTCAATGGAGAAGATACATATCCGAGCCCTTGAAGCTCTTGAACCGTTCATCCATCAGGCCCAGTCGGCGAATTCCGCACTCCACGCGACCGAAATCATCAAGAATGCCACCTCCGCCCCAAACACATTCGTATTCGCAGAGCTGCTGGAAGTCCCAGCTATCCAAGCCTTGCGTTCGCCGGACACCCCTCAGGAGTACCGCAACCATCTCAGACTTTTAGAAATCTTCGCGTGGGGGACATGGAAGGAATATCAATGTGAGAACCCACCCATGCAGATACGGATTACCAAAGGCCCCCCCCCCCCCCCCCCGCCGTTGACTGATCAATACTGACGGGAACAAAACTACTCAGCAACTCCAAACCTTCCCCCTCTGGACGACAAACAAGCTGAAAAGCTCCTCCTCCTCACCCTCCTAACTCTCGCGACAGCCCACAACCCGCTTACGTACGCAATCGCTATGAAATCCCTATCCCTCCCCAACCACGCCGCCCTCGAATCCCTTGTCACACAAGCCATATACTCTTCCCTGATTACCGCCCGCATCTCACCAGCGACAAACCCTCGAGTCATCCACGTAACATCGACAGCTCCGCTCCGCGACGTGCAACCCCAATCGATCCCCATCATGATCTCAGTCTTGAAAGAATGGCGGGGGCGATGTTCTGATGTGATAGGGAATATAGAAGCGGAGATTGCCAGGATAAAATCCGAAGCTGAGAAGCGGAGAGCACGGGAGAAGATTCGGGCCAGTCGCGTGGAGAGGAGCGTTGCTGGCTGGGATGGTGAGGATGGCGGCGGGACGTCCGGTGGTACTGGGGGTTCTGGGACAGGTGCGGGTGCAGGTGCAGGTGCAGGTTCGAAACATTCACTACCGTTCTCAGGCGGTGGTCGGGTTCCCGGTCTCCGCCCACAGTTTTCTGGAACGTCGAGCAGCGGTGCCAGCGGGAATAAACGGGATCTCAATGATTTCGATGACGATGGTAGATATCCGGGTCATGGGGACATGGAAGTTGACGGAGCGGGCGCGGATGCTGATGAAGGGTTTGATGGAATAGGTGAATCTACGCGACAGTCGAAGCGTCTCTTGGCTTTGGGGAGCCGATAGATGTTCTTTCCGTCTTTCCTGAGATTATCTTATTTCCGACGTCTGCATTCCCATGGTTTAGACACCTAGATCTGGTCTGCTTACGACTCGGAAGGTTTTTTAGAATTATTCCTGATTTGACAAGGAGCATTACATACGATTAACGACGAGCAGAATCGATTTCATTTCCAGGAACTTATGACATCTCTCAAGCTCTGTAGATTCTGGGATGCATGCATCGAAACCCTATGTATTTTCATAGAATTGAAAATCGAGGCTATGGAGTAATTGCTTGGTGCTAGCAGCTGGTGGCCAAATGCAATACATGAGGAATTGTATTTGCAAGGTGAGAGCTGGGAGAGAAGACCACGATACATCACTAGGAATCCAACCCGATATTTTGACCAATTCATCCAGGCCTTAATAACTAGTTATTTAGTTAGCTAGAAGGAGCTGACTTAGAGGAGGATGACAGAAGGGCAATAGAAACCAGGAATAAGAGGTTGTATCTACTAATACATTTATTGGCTAACGGATCTCTGTAAAATGTCTTAAGAAAGAATGATGATTGCCTCTCTCGCTATTTGACGACCCTTGCATACATCAAATCAAACCTTCAGTCGGAAATATCTAACTTGCAGAAGAAAATGACGGAAAAAACCGACACGACTGATCATGTAGCTGGAAATAAAGAAGAAACGGAGAAAACGGACTAGATGAAAGGAAAAGGTTCAGAGACATAAAATCGGGGCAGAAAAGCGGGGATAAATGGAGGAAATGTTGGGCGAAGAGCCTCACTTGGATCGCGAGACAGGGAACCACGCCATGTTGCATTGCATGAAGGCATTTTCTGAGTTAGTTGGTTAGGCGAGGCCAGGGTCCCAAAATAGGGGAAATTTTCTTTCGTTTTGGAGTTGTTCCCTCATGGAAATGCCAATGGTTTCAGATGGTCGACCGAGACTCGACTTGTAGGTCAGAAATATTTAGATACGTGAACGGCGAACAACTCCCGAAACGCCGCTACTGACTCTTGAAACTAATGAACCCATGGCAAATCTGACAAGAAACAACCTCCTTTTACATCTGTGCGAACAAAACTGCCCAAGAAATAGGCTGGCCCGCCTTTGGAATCGGAGCGCTGGCGTAAACAAAAAAGAGATAGGGGATTTGACATGGGAACGAAAAAGAGCCGTGAGGAAAGAAAAGCATCCATGCACAGCCCTCTAAAGTTGGGTTCCGGGAACAAAGATAAACAAGACACATATGGCCACGGCAATGAAGGCTCCAAGAAGTAGGGACACAGATGCGCGCTTGATGAGCAAGGATCGGACGTACGGCTCGCGGATTCTTGCCCATGTAAAAATGGTGTACTCACTGAACCCGGCAAGGGCAAAGATCGGGTCAATTTTGTACTGATATGAGGAGAGGAAGTAGGCCGCAAAGATAAAAGGTAAAATAACCTGGATGGGCAAAATATTAAGAACTCGTTAGCAAACAAAGCCACAAATCAAATCCAGAGTGGGACGATATCAGAAGCCTCTTACCCAGCACCTAACGGATCTCGGTTGATCGGTGAGAACTACGTAAAACGCGGCCCAAAAGCCACCGCCAAAACTCAGTAGAGCAAGAGCCAAACGTGCCAAAATACTGGGTGGGACAAGATTTCCCAGTGCCTTAGCCTGTAAATACCCAGGAAACGCGTCTCTCTCCATTGCCTGAAAGACGTAATCCTTTGCAGTGTCGAAAACTTCCGGATCGTCCCTCCCCTCTTGCTCAATCATATGCACAATGTCTCCCACGATATTTTCTGGGAGAATGACTTCTCGTTCAGAGCCTGGGAGGAGATATGTGTACAGAATTCGTTCCGCGCTGGCGCGGATATCAGCTCGTGCAACTGTGTGCCCGGGCGAGTTGGAATTGGTGGCCCCATTATGAGAGGCTATCTGATTGCTAGGGCGAGATGAGCGATCGCTGGACACCGTCCGGCGAGACGATGGATTCGAATCCATGCTTTTTAACGAATGTCCAGATGTGTAGCCGTCAGATCGCAGGAAGGCGGACAACCGTGTATCACGGTCACGACTGTCACCGTTTCCAAGCCCAGACGGCCCAATTCCCATAGAATCAGTTTCGAGAGCATTAGAAGAGCGCGGGCTACCCGCCTTTTCTGGCTCATCGGGCGTCTCAAGGAGAACAGAGCGACGGAGTTCACGAACGTAATGGCGACAGAGTGACATGTGTTGTGACACGTCTAGCCTGATATGTTATCATCCAAATCAGCGCAATTGAACTGAATACTATGGGGAATATATTGAGATGACCTCACCAGAAATCTAGGTAATCGACAGAGCATTGCTGGTCTCTCATGTAGATGTAGAATGAAAAAAGGTCGACGGGAGCAAGGGTCCTGCGATGGAGCACTTCCATAAGAGTCGGTAGCCTGTTGCGGGGCTCCGATTCTGAGAAATCCGAAGCCATGATTAATGAGTGTATATGTATCGATCGCGGAATGAGTGGTAGAACTGTCGGGGGCTCAATAGAGGCACTTCATAAATCGAATATGGCGCAGTCTGATAAAAGGCCGTCCAACACATGTATTGATTATTGATATTATACAGAGATCTGTAGATGGAATAAATCGCTCTGGCGCAAAGGGTTGTCGTTAAGAATTTGAACGAGCTCAATTTGTCGTCAGTGTTGATTGTTGGAACTTCCTGCCAAACAGTAAACCATCAACTACAAATAACAGCTAGTGGTCCATTTACAAGATTCCAATCGTGGCAACCCGCAAAAGAACGGACGTATGGTTCGGCAAAACGAATGATTTTCATGGCACGAAAGCCACAGCGCAGTCCAATCGAACTACTTCGGACAAATGTTGTCATTTGGCGCTTATTCGAAGTGTGTTAACGTTAATTGACGCGTCGGCAAAAACATTGTTCCAAGACACATTGTCAAGTTAAACAATCCGCGGAATATCAATTCTCCGGAGGGACTTGGCTATAAGTTACCGATGATCGCAAGAGTTTAATTTAACCTTAGCGGTTTAGCTACGAGGCAATGCTCTATTATTAATTTACTCTCTCGGATACTGTAAGATCATAGTTGATGTACTGTAATGAAATAGTCATCGGGTATCTATGTAGCATAGGTTGTGAACAGCGCGTGCTACAAATATGTATGCATGTACAAGTACATACAAACCAAAGGTGGTCGGAGTAAATGCCTCAAAATGCCATCATTGCATACCAACTCCAATCCAAACCCACGTACACCCGTAAGGTATCATACAATAGGTGAAGAATCAAATTATATCTCCTCTTACTCCGCCAGGTGCTAGTTCATTCTCAATTAGCCTACTTAACCCAATCAGCAGGAAATATTAACAAAAAAAACTCACCGACCACTCTGGTATATTTCTGATCTGTTGCCACATAAATCGTTCCAATTTATTTGCGCTTTTAGCATATGAGGTATTTTCATTATTATACCTCCGACAATTGTCAAAAATTAATTTGGCATCCTTGATGAAGTCTTGCGGGGTCGGATACATGTCCTTTTCGTGCTTCTCCTCCATTGTGGAAAGATCCATAGGCTCCTTGATAACTTCGTAGTAGTCAGGGACTTCATCTCTGTTAACCGGCTGAGCAAATGGCCAAGCAGAGGTATGGTTCTGCATGTCGTTGAGGAGGTGTAGCAGTTGGTTATAATTAGGACCATGTCGGGGTTGGCGGGCCAACTCATCCATATCTGGTGACCATCCAGATTCTTTAATTGCAGGTATACTCAGGGGGTCGATGTTAAAAGCGCCGTTTTTCCACTCCTTAGGTGGCGCATGGACAATGTGCGATTTGCTAAAAGCTCGGATTTTGGCTTGTACTGCTTCCTTCTGCTTTAAGAGCATCCGTCCAGCCTCGAGATATCGAATCTTCGGGAGCATTGTGCATTGCATAATTGTGCCTCCCTCGTAGTCCTTGATGTAGCCCATCCAAATAGACTTTTCAAGTGTGATATCTTTCGTGAATCCTTGCTTTTTGAAATATCCAATAGCATAATTATCAGCATATGTAAGAAAATGCATCACATCAGAAGTGGCTTTCACATAGTCCTGCATAGAGTAATCAGTGGCTGCCACGGCCTGCCAATATGTGGCGAATGTAGGTGCGCACCTTTAAATGAGACATTAAATGGGCTCCATATCCTTTCACCTGTTGGTCAGAAGAGATAGCGCAAAATACAATCTCTGCGAACTTCCTTCCTTTAAAAGGTCGATACGTTATGCCACTACTTCTAGTTAGCATTTTTCTCAATTTCCAACGACGGGGGGAGGGGTTGACCATGATAGTGACATACCCAACCACTTCTAGCGGATGTTTTACAATGGCGATGGACAGGTGAGTTCTATCATACACCAGTCTGGCGATATAATCTTTAGGCATTTTTGGCAGTTGCTTCTGAAAAATGCATTTGAGACCAGTGAGAATGATAAAGCTCTCCCTCTCGCCATCATTGTTGACAACCCGAAATTCAATTTGCCCAGATCGTTCCTCTAAAACCGCAGGCTACAGTATATCCGTGTTAACGTCATTACGCAGACTTAAATGAAGGACTGAGGGGCCAAAAAACAACCAACCTTCTCTGGGTAAGGTACTAGTTTGAGAGCCTGCTTGTCATCGTCCTGGAGCAAGTGGTGTCAGCTGAAAACCACTGAATGCCTTCTCGGGGTAGTTAAGTATCAAACCTGGTCTTCTTTCTTAGGAGACTCCGTTCTCGCCTTTTTGCTTCGGTGAGCAGAAGTATCCTCGGATGGCCGCTCCTCAGAAGCCTTCCGCTTGCCACCTAGAACGCGGTTGTCAGGTGGAAGTCACAGAGTCCAAAGCGTTCAACACTCAATGAGCAACTTACGGTCAACAGAAATTGGCGCCATGGTTCACAATAGATCTTCTTTCGATCATGGCCGATAAAACCTGGGGACGAGACCTGCATGTCCTCCATATCGCCCAATGTCATCACGATGTCCCAAGGCCCCCAACTCCTGGTATGCCTAGTCCCGTGACTTCGCGCCTTCCTGCTAGTGTCGGCAATATATTTATCCGATGTGTCCTGTCCAATATGCCAAAGTCGACTGCGTCTGAGAAACGTCACTTCTGACCCTCTTTACATCAGGATCAGTAGTTTGTTTGTGACAACGTCTGCGCGCTGCTCGTTAACTAGTAGCTTTGAGCCACCTGATTACCACCCAATTCAATTGCACCGATGTCGCTGAACAAGGTCTGGGATTCTGCCGGTGGAACGCCCTTTTATCCTCTTGTGTCGAAGGATAGTCACTTCGTCGTTGCTCTCACCCTCCTATTGACCAGTAAGCTAGCTCAGAGGATATGAAAATAGATTCAGTGGATTAACTCCTTTTAATAGCTGCTGTCCTTGCTGTTCTCTTCGGTATCAGTGAGTAGCGAGGCTTCGAACCGGCGCCTCTCATACAATGCTAACATATCAGCGTCAAGATCGATCCCTTGTCAGTGTGCCATTGTTTGGTGTGCCGGCTTCGTTGGCATTTGGGTATGCACCTTTAACACTACTCCTAATGTCACTTACAGTGTGTTTTAAATCTAATTTGGAGCAGGTTTGGAGCTGTTTTCATGATATGTGCAGTAGGAGTCTACGTTTAATCAAAAGCGCTTATCAAACCCATCAAGTCGCCATATTTTGAACTTCCTTTAGTTATGTACATCAAATCGAAGTTAAAGAGGGATTTTTATTTCTAGATACCGTTGCTTATTACCCGCACTACCGACAATCACATCATTTTCCCAAAAAAAAAAAAAAAAAAAAAAAAAAAAAAAAAAAAAAAAAAAAAAAACCAAGGCTGTAGTCGGTCATGGAGCAGACTGACCGACCCATATTTTCGGCGGTCTCCAATTCTGTCCAGCAATTATATGTGCTCTTGCGATGCATCGGATTCTCTTCAAAAGCTTCAGTTCAGGTCACTTCACAAGGGATTCGCTTCTCCGCTGAAGACGGACGAGTAATGCAAGGCGTCGCATTTCTTGATAAGAAACTTTTCACCAACTACATATTCCACCCACCATCAGGGACTAACCTTGAGGGTACCGTAGAGGATGAATATGGTCTAGACAATTACGTTTCCCCTCTCTTCTTGATATCTCTTTCTGCCCTACTCGAGACACTCCAGATCTTTGGCCTCAATGATGCGTCTTCATTTACCAATCCGACTCCAAATCCGGCCACCTCAACCGCCCTCAACGCTTTCTCAGGACCTGCATTACTCCTAAACCGCACGTGCACAATCAGTTATATTATGCAAGGATCGCCACTTGCTATCACTCTATCCGAAGCTGGTGTGACCACCACATGCGAATTGACAACGTACGAACCGGATGACATCGATTTTGACTCCTCAGTTGGAGATACCGATATTCCATTTCAGCGTGATGCCATCGTATTCAAAGCCATAATGCGCTCAATGTGGCTTCACAACGCCATTCTGGAATTAGACTCCACGAATCCAACCTCATTGTCTTTTAGCGTGTCAGCGACCAAGGAGCCATACTTCGCTCTTTCCGCCTCTGGAGGTCCTTTTAGCGAATCGACCATCGAGTTCTCAATCGACAAAGACCCTTCCACCGCTGGCGCCAATGTACCCGTTTACAAAACACTGGAAGATGGCACAAGTTCACCTTCAAAACAACAAGCAAGGCGCGGGAAGCTCGCTCCTACTGTAACAGAGACGTTCCTCGTCAATTCGCCATCCAGATCCAGGTTCCGCCAGAGTTACAGATTTGCACTTATTTACAAGGCTCTTCGTGCGATGGCGGCCTCAAGCAAGGTTAGCATCCGCATTGATAGACAGGGGGTTCTGAGTTTACAATTTATGATTGAATTTGGTGATGGAAATGGCGTTGATGGCGGAAGAGGGGTTCAACCGCCCACCGCAATTAAGAAGATCGAAAATGCTGGCTTTGTGGATTTCCGATTCGTCCCATTAGTCGATGACGCTGACGAGGGCGGAGAAGATGGGGCTGCAAATGATTGACACATAAATATCGGTGCTTGGGGAAGAATTTTCGATCACAAGCTCTTTAACTTAGGCCATGTACGTTTTCCACGGGAGAAGGGGGTTTTTGGCCGGCTTCTTCATCCAGCATATCATCTATGAAGTGTAATGCAACCATGTGAAACTCCAAAAACATATTTTTAAAGGGGCCCATAAAATGAAAATCTGAAATAAAAATTGTGTAGAATGACCTATAACTCAAGGAAAATATAGTAGACTCCATCCGTATTCCCACTTTTAAGTCAACAAATTCAAATTTAACATCACGGTGGTTACATATATAGGAGGAAACATTGAAACAAAAAGAGCAGGGTTACCTTGACACATAAATTAATTTTCAAGAGAAATTTACACAGAGACCTTAAATGACCTATTTTGTACTTGAATTAGCATTTGAACAGGGTATATCACAAGCAGCGAACACCAGGAGATACCAGAGGTGAAAGTACTAACCGCCGCAATCGACTGCCTCTCAATAATAGATTTCTGCCTCTCATTCCTCGATACACGATAATAATAATCGCTGAAATCACCGCACTTCATATGCCGCAAAAACTCCTCGTCGTGCGTGATGACAATAAGCTGGAAATTCGACTGTTGCTGGCGCGATCTGATAATGTCATGCAGCGACTCTGCAAGGGAACGGATGTTATCTCTGTCAAGATTCGTCGTGGGCTCGTCCAGCGCGATGAGGCCGCAATTGACACCGAAGCACTCTGCAAGCGCCAAACGGATGATAATGCTAGCAAGAACCTTCTGCCCAGCACTACAGCGGCCACGCATATCCATCTCTGCATCTTGCTTAACCATACAGACGCGATAGTTATAAGATCGATTTCCCTTCGCGTTTTCGTTATCGGACCGAATTAGGATGGTGTCGACGTCCGTACCCCTATACGTCTTCTGCCACAGTTCCTCGATAATACGGTTGATTTCCTCCATTTTCAAGCTGTGATATTTCATGATAGCTTTGTCAAGAGCACTGCCATAACGGCCAAGATCATCGACAGCCGCCTTCGTTGTTTCCACCTTGATGTGAGCTTCTTTGAATTTTGGCCCGGCATCTTTATAGTCAGTATTCCAATCAGCAAGTAGCTGCATGAGCTGATCGTCCTTTGACTTCATTTCTCCCATTTTGCTGGCTTGCTTCGCGGACAGAGCGTTGTGTTCTCGTGTTCGTCGCTCTGATTCTTCCTTAAAACGACTGCGATCCACCTCAGCGTTCTGGGCAGTTAGTTCCTCAATAGTGGTATTCACGTCCTCGAGTGCAGCTGTTTCTTGACGGTATCTGAGGTTATCGGCATATTGCCGTTTTGTGCTTTCGCTGTCCTTTAGCCTGATTGAGATCTCATTGATCTCTTTGGTGATTGATCCTTGCTCTTTCTCTAAGTTCGCAATCTCCATTTCAATGCTACATACTTCTTTTTCACACCTACTCAGTTGCGCTGGACCGTCTCGCTCAATATATGAAGTGATCTCTTCGTTCGCTAGGTTAAGTTGATGCAAACTGTCTGACAGCTGGGACGCTTCTTGCTGAAGCTCCTTCTCCCTTCTTTCGGCCCGTGAACTGATGTCATCATACCTGGCTTGAGCTTTCGAGACTTCTGGAACAAGATTGTCGATATCTCGATCCGCTTTTTCAATGCTCTCCCGTTGTTTGGCATTGAGGTTGCGATATTCTTCGACACGGGCAATCAAGTTCGCTTTTTTCTCCAACTGATGGTTAGCATTACCCAAATTGCTTCTCACGTCTCGAAGCTTCAATTCAAGTGTTGTAATCTCGGTTCGCGACTGATCCTTTTCGCTGCTTAATTTTGAAATAACTTTTTGAAGCTCGCGAGACTTTTCCCCGATCTCCGAAAGTTGTTCCTGAATGTCTTCCAACGTTCTCGAGCTCATGACATCTTGTTGGTTCGTAGAAAGCTCTTGGATTTGTGATCGAAGTATCCCGATTTCGCTGTCGTACTTTGAAATCGTAGCAACTGTTTTCGACAAAGATTCGACATCCTTTTTCAGCTCTGCACGTTTGCTAACAATCTTGTCATGGTCCTCGATTTGAGATAATAAATCCTCTCGTTGAGATTCTAGTTTGGCCTCCTCTTTCTCAAGAGCAGGAATTTCTGTATTAGAAAGACGAACCCAGGAGCCATAGAAAGTGGATGCACTTTGAGCGGCCTCTAGATCCTCCTCAAGTTGCCGCAGGCTTTCATCAGCAGCATCTTGTGTGGCCCTTTTTACTAGAGCATCAAGTTTGTTCAAGAATATTTGAAATTCGCCCTCGGTTTTGAAAGGCCTGGAGCACATTCTGCAAACTTTCTTTTGCCTGGCTGCATCCATACATTTACTGAGGTAGTCTCCCAGTCCGGCATACTGGTCGGCATCTTTCTTGGCCATATCTAGCTGTACTTGACGCTGCTTGAGAATATCGGGGTACTCTTCAGGTTCGTCGTTGACAGAATCGCGGATTTTTTCAATGCACTGCTTCAATTCATTACGTTTTTGTAGAAGATCCTTTCGAGTTGTCTTTAGTTTGAAGTCTGTGTGTTCGAGTTCCCTACATTTGCCGTCCCTTTCACGTTCAACATGGGTCAAGGCATTGGTGGCAGCTTCCAAGGCAGTTTGATATTCTTGATCGAGCGTAGAGGGACTCCACTCCTGGGTCACAAATTTCTTGATCCTCTCAGCATGAGCCCCTTTCATGGTTTCGAGACTGCGCTCGCGATCCTTAAGTTCTCTTTTAAGGTGATCTAGCCGGGCAAGATCGCCGGCTCGTTTGGTCCCCTCAATTAGCTCTGCGTTCAGTTTCGAGCTTTCATCTTCCAGCAACCGAATCTCTGCAGTTGTGCTTTGAATTGCGCTGTCCCATGAAGCAGCTTTTGCCTTTCCTTTCGCTTCATTGAGAGATCGCTCAGTTTCTTCAATCCTTGACTCTAAAACAGCCTTGTCACCCTCATCTATCTCAATTTCGTCTAGACGTCTCTGATACGAGTCGGCTTCGTGATCATTCGACGTTATTTGTTTCCTTGCCGCATTTTTCACTTCCTGCAGTGCAGATTTCCGTTGGCCAAGCTGATTCAGAAGACTCTGTGCTTCACGCTGCTCCACTTGGGCCTCTCGTCGAGCTCTTTCTAACGCTTGGTTTTGATCTTTGGATAACTTTCGAATTCGTTGCATGAAGTCGTTTACTTGCATGTCGTCGAGGTCATCGTCGAACCCACGAATGCTGTTCTGCCGAGCAATTTCCTTGATCAATTTTTCCTGTCTTTTAAGCTGCCGTTCAAACTGAGCTTTGTCATTTTCGTGTTTGCCGTACTCAGCCTGTTTGAGGCCTAACTTAGCCCGATTATCTTCGATAAGTTGCCTAAGATCCACGTATTTTTGCTTGAGTGACTCTTCCTGTTCTCGATCCTGAGCTTGTTTTGATTCGAATTGTTCTAAGGCTCGTTCAAGCCACTCGTCAGACTCATCAACCTCTACAAGATGTTGCTGCAGGTTGCTGATGCTAGTCTGTATGCTTTTCGCTTCTATCCGCTTTCCTTCCAAGGTTCCAAGTATCTGAACATAACTCTCCGACTCCTTCCAGGCCTTGTCGGCAAGTTCTGCGGCTCTTCTCATTTCCTTAGAGAGTTCATGGCTTTCAGCACGGAGCGCCTCGATTTCCTCCTGCAATTTGATTGATCTTTTTTCCGCCTAAATGTGTCTCAGTTAAGCCATACAAATAAAACGGTCAAAAAAAAAGAATGGATACGTACACGATCAGCCCTGTCCTTATTCTCTTTGGCGTGCTGTTCCATAATTTTGTACTTGGCAAGTTCTTCATTTTGCTTTTTCCGTAGAGCCTTGATATTATCGATGGCTTTTGTGTACTTCAAGGCTTCAAAAATCTCATCAAATTTCTTCTTCAAGACGGATGGTTCGCTCATTGGCCAAAGGCTCTCATCCTGGTGGCAGAAGATCACAGAGTCCAGGATAGCTTTCGAAACACCAAGATATTGGGGCATGATCTGGTCGAGCTCCGCCACCCTAGAAGAAATAGACGTTCGTTCCCCATCTTTGATCATCAAAAGCTGGCCTTCCAGTGTTTTCTGTTGTCTCGCATTTTTTTTCACCGTAAGTTGGAGGCTTCGTGTGGCTACCATTTTGGCTCCTGTGATAGACTTGAACGAGAGTTTTACTTGGGCCAGGACTTCTTTTTCGCCACATAACTGGGGATTGTCTTCAGTCCTTACTCGCATGCTTTATATATAGATTCGCTAGACAAACCTTCGGATCGTGAATAAAGGCACCGCCTTTACTGTTGGGTGGGAGGTCTCCTGTTGTTGCATATTTGAGACACTCAATGATGGTCTACTGATCAGTTAGCATGCATTAAGCCCCCCACAAATGCAAGTGCAGTAGCACACCGTCTTTCCCGAGCCGTTGTATCCGACAATCAAAGTCAACGGTGTATGGAATTGGATGGTTTCGCTTCGGGTGTTGTCGAAAGAGCGGACACTGGTATAACAGAGGGCCAGGACAGGTATTAACGGCATATTCATGCGAAAGAAAATGCAATATGACATAAGTTTACTTACCCAAGAATAGATAGCTTGTCAATTTTCGCTGACGGCAGTTAGCTATAAGATAGAGGAGTAGCGGTAGTAGACATGGCATGTGGGCATATGGACTCACACCTGAAAGGCAAATTAGCGAAAGGAATCCGTGCACGTAACTGATGGCCACTTACATCCTGACAGGACTACGATCGCGCAGCCCGCAACTAGCAGCACTGCCTCTCACTGTTGAAAGTGGTAAGGAGAATTCTGCTCAGAGGTTGTTCACCACGTCATCTTTCTATCTTTCTTTCTTTCTTTCACAATGCGGCCCGCTCGTTCACGCGGAGAGAAATGCGCGATGTCACGTGACTCCACAGGTTTTAAGCGGCTCAAGTGTCGAGTGAGATAAGTTAAAAAAAGAATTGCCATGGTAGCAAAGTGTAAATTTTTTTTCTTTTTTTTTTTCACACCGTCTCTTTGAAAATAGGAATGTGTTCGTTAATTGTGTCTGGTGGTGGTCTATAACTCACCAAGGATTGGCCTCAAGCCAATTTGGCATTCGATCGAGATCAAAAAGCCCAGAAGCAAGCCGCTAACTATTAGCAACGAGGGGGGGACAACAGGGGGGGATTGGGGCCGGGGGAAGTGGAGGGACCGGGCTCTAGTTAAGCAGTGAACATGTGGCCCCCCGGAGTTTGCGGATTCAGGTGCCATGGTGCGGAACCCGTACGTTGACAGCTCTCGGCAACCCTTAACCCTACCGCACGGTCGAAGCACACATCACACATAAAACAAGAGAGAAAGACGCTAAAATGACAAGAACCCTACAAACCACTGTGCGATAACTAATAGTTAAACAACCTAAATGCCAGAGACCGCTTTACCCGTCTTCCTGCTAACTCCCGATTTACACGGTGCTGCTTCTCCTAAGTTTATGGCACTCAACCTCGTTCAATAACATTACCACCCAGCCCAAGTGTTGTTCTCTCGCTCTGTTCACCTCCCCCATATCACAGCACATGGAAGCCCATTCCGGTCGTGCCATTTTGGGCTCTCCTCATGTCAGGATATGATCCCCGGCTTGCTCGAGAATTGTCCGCTTATTCCAATGAGGTACGACACCAACTAATCAGCCAGCCAGCCGGCAACACCCTTCTCTTCTGAAAGAATTATATGCTAATCCGTAACTCGGGAAAGCTCCCTGCCGTAGAACTATGTGTACAGGGAGCTTTAGTGGAAGGTTTCAATGCCGTGGAGCCGCCTCATCACGATCTCGACGCTGATAATGCGCGGTATAAAAATACCTATGATAAACCTTTTGAAACGGCTCCTCTGCTCCCTGCAAGTACGCAAGATGGACCAGCCAAGTGGGAACAAAACATCTCTGCAGAGGGGGTTGGCTGTTGCATTCCCGCTCCTGCATCGCCACTACCTGCAAACTCCGAGAGCACCAGCAATGTGCTGGATGCTGACTCCATACAGCCGGAAACTCGCATGCAAAACATACTAGCGGGATTAAGAGACCTGATACAAATTTTAGACATGTCCGGGGTGTTGGTAGCTGTGTCTCCTTGCTGCAAGGCATTGATAGGCTACGAACCAGAAGATCTGATAGGCAATGTTTTATTCGAACTTATCCACCCAAATGACCGCTCAATGGTCATCCAAGAATTCGCCGATTCAATACACACAGGCAACCCATTCAGGTGCTATTACCGGTTCAAGAAGCGTGACGGAACCTATCTCCTGCTGGAGGCCCATGGCCACATCGACTCCGCGACTGGCCTCGAGTTCTCAATAATTGCCCGCCCCTACCTAACCAAGCAATCACAACTTCTCGACTCTTTTCTTGAGCACAAGCTTGAGAACGAGAGATTGACCCGACGCATCGCAGAGTTGAATCGAGAAGGAGAATTCCAGCTCCGTCACCATGAAGACAAAAAACATGAAGACGACCAACAAGCAACCTTCGCGGCTCCACAGGCTGTCTTCAATTCAACAGCACCCTCCGATTTCATCCCTTCAGCCACGGTGGGATTTCAATTCGGACTTCCCGCCGTGCCAACCCCAAATCATCTCTTCACCGCATCAAGCTCCAGCGGATATAAACCGTTAACGACACCCCTACCAGAAAATAACATTTCCATTCCCTTTGGTTTTGATGGTCGCACATCTCTAGATGACATAGAGCTTATAACTGGCCTGAATTATCTGGCTGGGGAACGAGCTCAGGGGATAAGCACTGGTGACCCTGGCGGCACCCTTATCCAAACCAACGTTCCTCCGGTTTCCATGTTTGCCAACAGCAGAGATGATAGGGTAAGGAAAGCCAATACCGAAAGGAGGCGGAGAAGTAAACCTGCCGAAACACATTTCTGTACGGATTGCGGGACTTTCTCTTCTCCTGAGTGGCGGAAGGGCCCGAGTGGGAAGAAAACACTATGCAATGCTTGCGGATGTGAGTTGGGTTTGCCTCTCCCCCCCTTATTTTTAAGCTTCCTCCTGAGGTTTCCAAGTTGAACGAGGTGCTGATACCATTTTACAGTGCGCTGGGCTAAGCAGGAAAGAAAGAACCAACAGACTAATGTTTAAGGAAAAGTTTTAAAGAAGTTTAGAAGCTCAAACACCCTATCCTAGATGATGATGGCTCCCGTTCCCTTGATATCGATTACGATGATGAGATAACACACTTATTTCTTTTTTTTTCCCTTGGACAAGAATTTCCCTTGATGCATGGTAATGAATTCCGCCTACCTTCTACCCCAAACAACCCCTCTTCTGGACATGGTTAAACTTATATTTTTAGATATTTATCTTCTTCCATATTCGCATCACCCCAAACTTCCCGATAACGTCTTCATCTGTTGACATTTAATGTGTAATCGTTATCCATCTATGACTTGGGAGCCGTTCCTTTTGTGTATATTACTGCATTGAAGTGAAAATTTACCTTCATTTATGGACATGAAGTAGTAATGATGAAATGCAATGTAATATCCAGATTACAAGTTTCCGTCGCTTCTCTTACCTTGTACGGAGCACGAAGACGACCGGCAGCTAAAAGGCAGCCCAACGGAGACTGGGCGTATTGGTTGGCAATTGTTTAGGCAGGAAGTGATAAATATTCCGCTTGACGCTCTCTTCTCTGTACAATTTAGTTTCCTATGGCTATATTGCTGGCATGACGAATCAAGGTAAGGAACAAAAACAAGCGAAAAGGTAATCACTGTATTTCTCAAACCGATCTGCAAAAACTCTGGCTGCAATCTCCATAACTTCAGCCATGGCAAACCAGAAACGCCGTTGATATATCTGAAAAGGGAGAAAAAAAAAGTGCAAGATCGTAATGTTTCACGTCTCCATCCTGCTGCCACCACCTTCAGATTCTTTTATACTGCCTCCATTTTCTACTCCGTCCATTCCCATCTCTGGCTTTATCGAAACTTCAGTCTCCAGATTCATATCGTCGATGGACATAGCAGTCGAAGTAGCTTCTGTGAGTTTCCCGCTGGACTCTCCTTCGGGTTTATCATGTATATCGCCAATGACAAAGTCTCCATCTGCATCCATATCTGTATCCTCCTTTAAATCAGCGCTGCTCAATTTATCACTCTCTGCTGATGCCTGTAGTGTGGTATTTGAATCGGTTGCCGAACCGTCTGTTGGAACATCATCGATGCGAGTGGCACTAGATGACAGCGAAAACTGAACCTCTGTTCTATTCTGCAATCCCATATCTTCAACGCCCAAGATAGCAGGTCCTCGCGCATGGGGTATCTCTTCGACGTCATCATCACCTTGTGCTTCCACTCCATCTCTCCCAGCCACCAGTGATGAACCGACCTGGTGTTCCTGAATCGTTATGTGAACAACGCCAGCTTCTTGCTCCTGTCGGGTGAGTTCGCCTGTTACGGCGCAGGATCCTTGCGGAGGAACAGTGGACGGGCTGCTGTTGTTGGATGGGCTCACATCTGGACTCGAATTAGGACTGGAATCAAAATCCAAGAAAGTCATCGTTATTACCTCCGGGGAGGGCAGAATCTCTCAGCCATGGTATTGGAGTGAGAAGGGCACCTCCCAAAGACTCATCGCTCCCCAGCGCATCATTTTCCAACACGAAACTACTGCTCCCCGAGCCATTAACGCCATTCACAAGGTTGGTATCAATCAGGCCACCAGGTATGGGCAAGGAGGCGGGCAATGGGAATATGTCTGCTCCGCTGGATACGGACACTACTCTATCCACTGCGCGGAGGTATGAGGGCAATGTACTGTAGTGTCGGGTCGGTTGTAGGATCAATTCTGCCAGCCGCTGGATGGTATGTGGTGGCTTTAGCGAGAAATAGGTTCTTAAGGTATATTTGATGGATGAGAGTATTCTGACCAGGGGTGGAGGGAGGGCATCGTCTGTTGATTGCGGCTGAGAATCCGGAATCTGCTCGATAGGGACAGAGGACCGGAGGGCAGGGACCGGTGGCTGGCCGGGCGGGGTTTGCTGTTGTGAAGGCGGAGCATTCTCCTTGTTGTTGTTCGATTGTGGGTTCATTTCTTGTACCGGGTAAGAAGAGGGTATCAGACTTGGGGTATCATGTGTGTTACTCAAAGTTGGGGGAATTGTGGGCATTGGGAAGTCATTATGAACTATCTTTGGGAGCTGTCAGTTTCCCAAACACTTATTGTTCCATGCAGGACACTTACATGCTCCAATCTCTCAATTAAAGGGTCAAGCAAATCGGGCCATTTCTCACTGTATCAAGAGGACAAAATCGTCAACCAAGCGGCGCACGGACGAGCTGGAAGACATTCGCAAACATACAAATCGATAGTCCCATCTTTGGCGACAAGCTCTAGCACTTCTTCATCTACAGACGGAAGGTAGTTAGCTCCAGCTCAAAGTTCCACAGAACTGCCTATTGAAAGCGCGATGCGACGGTAGCTAAGGCCGAGATTGATGGCTCAGAAGACATGGGACGACAGCACGAAAGATAGAACTACACGGATACTTTCCTGAAGACATTATTCTCTCTCCTGTCTTTGTTCATTGAGCAATGCGGGGAGCTGTCACAATACCTAGGTAATGCTGCAGCAAGATGGTCGAAGGTAAAATAAAAATTTAAAAAAAAAAAATAACAATAATAAAAAAAAAACAAAGTGAGAGGAAAGAAGAGAAAAGCGCGGTCCGGCGGATGTTTGATATCAGCTTAATCAGCCGCAATACGATCGAATAACTTAGTTAATTACCTGCTGTTGAACGGTTGCAATGGCTTGGCCCATCTGAGGTCACCTGATGTCGACTACGCTCTTTAGGGCTATAGGGCTCTAGGGCTACAGGTGGCACTACAGGGGCGCTTTAACTGTCTTATGGGGAGCCGAGGCTCCAACAGCCCCTAAAACTTAGGGCCCAATTCCCCGGCTGCTCTAGCTAAGTTTTCTCCGTTGTTCAGGCATCTTGGGGCACATATAGGTACCCCTAGTTTCTCAACTGGCAACCATGTATGTATGTATGTATGTATCTAGGTATGTGCTGATGCTCAGAATGCACGTATAACTGGCAACCCTGAGTCTTCAGGGTTGACCTAACTTCAAAGGACTCTACTCTTCAACTCATGCTCGGGTTACGTTACAGCAACACTGACTGCCAACCCTAGGTCCCCCAATGCCCGCATGAGCTACATCAATTTTAGCGTCATCAATGGGATCCAAGGCAGTGGAGTCCCTCGATGCTGAGAGAGAAGACAGATCGACCGCAGAGTTCGAATCGGGAAACGCCACAATGCTGGCTAGTATTTGCAGATTGGCGGATGCGGACGTGCAGTGGGAGGCTGTGTTGTCAAAACTCAAGCCAGAAGGAAAAGAGCCTGACGGGTTTCTGTCATATTTTTACAACTATTTCTTGAAATTTGGTTCCAGTGCAGAAATTAGATTCCGCTGCTTCTTTTAACATTCATATTCGTTGGATCACGCCCATCAATCGAAGCCATGGGTTTTGATAGCTGGAAGAAGCGACTTTCTGGGATCGGAGGGAAGAAATTACCTTCACCGTCATCTTCCTTGTCATCACCAAGGGATGCCCCCGAAGGAGCATTTCCATCTTCACACCCAAACAATGCTCCCGCTCCGGCCATTGAAGGAAATCCTCATCCTTCGTTCCAGCGCCCAGGCCAATCGCAAAGGCAGGCTCTTCAGACGAACTTCTCGTCTTCTTATTCGAACAATGCTCCCGTTCCAGGAGCCGCTGGAAATCCCTGGTCTCCTTCGCAAGCCCCAGCGCCTAGGCCAATAGCATGGCCGCTTACTTATCCAGTTTTGCCGGAGGAGGGTGTCGGCGTGCTCATATTTTATCATACGCTGCAATCCATGGTCAGTGGGGAGATTTATTGCTGGACTTATATCTCTGAAGGATTGGCACGAGTGGGCCAGAAAGAGATCGTCTTTACTATTCGACGCAAGGCCAGTGAACGGGAGGATAACTTCCCGACAACTCCTTTTCAATGGATTAAGTTCGTCTATTCCGCAGCAAAGGGCGGGCAGACAGTTGATGAGTTTCATCGCACAGACTTCCATTCTCCGTCCTTCCTTGACAGGTCTGATTTCAAATGGATCGTTTACTGCCCTGCGCACTCTATCAACAATGTACCTGCTTCATATTTCCCTCGTGAATGGCTGCAGGTCATCCCCCTCATTGCGCCAGAGGCAGAGGTGGCCCAGAGATATGGAGTTATGAGAGCTCTTGGACATCTAGGTGCTCAGGAGCGTTATTTCCCTTTCCCTCCCTGGATAGACCGTGGCCGTCAACCATGCATAACCATGGCGAACATGACGGGAACTATGAAGGATTCGCTTCCGTCTGTTATTGTCACGGGGATAAATGCATTGAAGAAGGGAAGCGAGATTGTTCTTTATATTCCCCAACGATCTGCTTCTCCGCTTAAAGAAGCATTGGCACAGTTTCAACTTGAACACGTATTTTCGCTTGAAACCACTCCTCACAGGGACGCTGACTCCGGCCTCCTCTGGAGTAATACCGATACAGAGCCCAGGGGATACGCTGCAGGCACATCAAATGCGTGTATGAATCTAAATTATTTCGCATTCTGCCCTTGCCAGGAGAGCAATGAGCTTAAAATGATCGAAGATGGATTTATATGTAAGTTCTTGAGCATTTTCTCATTCACTCCCTTTTTTACCTGCACCCGCACATATGGATATCGCACCTCGTTAGCCCGATGCCCATTGACCAATGAAGGCTAATATGTAAATCATAACGAACAGTCATGATCACAAATTCCACGTGGGCGAACTTCCGCAACTTCATCGAACAGTCAATATCTTCCAGTATTGCTTTCCCATCCGGTTTCCGATTCACCCTAGAATTTGAAGGATCGACATCACCACAAAACACAGGCCCTTCTCCTGGAACCCAAGCAGCCGTACAACCAACACCCTCTCCGGTCAAATACGCGTATGTCGAATACAAACCTGAAAACCCAGTTCCCAGATCTCAAAAGCCAAGCCATGTTCACTGTGATCATGTCGTTCTCCTCGACACAAACGTTGCAAAGCAAGCCGACGTGGATGAACTGAGTCGGTATATTAAATCGATTGAAGCCGTGTTGGATACGACCGTTCCTAAAACTGCCCCCCCACACTTGGTTGGCGGAGGGAAACTCCTTATCGAAGCTGATGTTGGGGGCCCTGATCGGGATGACCCCCTGAGCCGCGAGTGGTTCAAGATGAAGTTCTCCCCGCCTTCTTTGGAGGCTCTACCAATGGCTGAGATATATGACGGGGTCGCTCTATTAGCAAAACCGAGTATCGAACCTAGAACTAGGTTTTCTATGGCCTTTAATGTCTGGGGGTTTACGGGGACGTGGGCATAGTTGCACAGCCAGATTCAGGCAAGGCTGGGAAATATGTTGCCTGTTTAACACTTCCTTAATAACAACTTCCATATTTTCCTGCTCCCCGACCTGATAAGAAATTGGCAAGTAACTTTCAAACAAAGAGAAAAGAAATAATATATATAAATAAAAACAATTTAATAAAAGTATAAATATAATCGTTATAGTAAACTACTATTTAGATATAAAATTTTCTTAACCCTTTTGGATCTAATAATCAGACTTTATCTAGTAGTTAGTTATTTTAGTTTTAGTTATAAAATCAACTTAAAATATATTCCTGTCCTAGTAGGGGGAAATAATTTTAGATTAATAATTTTTTTAATTTAAATTATATTAATTTTAAAAGTTTACCTTTTGTGCATTTATTTTATTAGTATTTCAATAAAATATATATAGAACTTTTGGTTATAAAAGATATATTAATTAAAATAATATTTTTACATATATTTTTCTAAAATATATTTTGAATAACTATATTTTAGCTTCAATTATATTATAAATAATTACTTTTTAATAAAACAACATTAAAAATTAACCAATATATAAATATATTATCTTTGAAGTTAAGATTATTAAAAACAGTAGATATATATAAAAAAAATTTAAATATATATGAATTTGGAATAAAATAAGTAAAAGCTTAGTCAACATTAGAAAATAAAAATTAAATAAAAGATAAACAAAAACTGAGAATAATCTTATAATTCTATATTCCATTATATTAAAACTTAGTATTAATTAATAAAAATAAATTAAAAATATAATACTATAGAGTAAGGAAAAATTAATTATATTTTTAATAAATATTAATTGAGAAAGTGATTATAAATACACATATAATTTAACAGTTAAAATTATTTCTTACTTTTTAATAGTAGATACTATAAGTTCAATTCTTTTCTCTATTTCTTTTGTTTCTTGCCATTTTATCATGAATTGATGACATAATTGCAAGTTGAGATGAAAGAGCAACTAAAACATTTCAAACATTTCGAATTGATCTTTCACTTCGTTGAAGAATTCTGTTCACTTAGTCAAGGACTATTATTGCAAATAATGTGATTATGCTGTTAGTGATATAATTATTGTTGTTATCATTTCCCCTCCCCTCGTGTAGTGGCATCTCACAGAAACTCCATAAATCACGACGGTTGTGCAACGTAGTATTGTTTTGATGACACATGCGAGTTTCTCGCTGCGGACATGGAGTGGTCATGTCTGACATCATATCCACACGGGGAGAAAGACACGGGGAGAAATTTGCGAGTAGCATGGAAGCATTTTTATGCAGAATAATTAATTCCTTTCACGTTGTCATATATTTCCAAGGAAGGGTAATGTAACTGCCAACATACCTTGTTATAGAGGCATTCATGCACGGATTTTCGTTTGAGGTTCGATATCTCTTTCCCCTCTTCACGGTCAGGGAAAGAATCCATAGGAAGAGGTAAAGTGATGTACCTACCTTGGTAAAAATTCGAAGTTGTCGGGATATTCAACAATTGTTCGCAGGGGTAACTCTTTGCTTAGCAGAGGAGGGAAAATATAGGGAGTGGTGTATGAGGATGGAATCAGACATCATGAAGGGGAGCTGGGGACTTGGCACGCATTTCTTTATATTCTATGCACATCGAGGCCATTATCATGAGTCATAATATAACTCGAGTACTTGCACCTACATGCATGCAAATAATCCGCATACGGGAATGGTCGTCCTCTCCTTGATGTGACCCCGGGGACAGAGTTAAAGGTTACATGGAGCACACTTGTTGCTCCTTGGCTAGAGTTTTCTTCACTAAAGCTGCTTGAGCCACTAGAAGCGTACAAAATGGTCTTAGAGATCATATCCAATATCTGAAGAATTCAAACAAGAAAAAGAAAAGTGAAGAATGTCTTTCTTCTACGACTAGAATAACTTGTACGCTACGAGTTAAAACATATGCCCAGGGAATGAATGAATTGATCTTCTAGGGAGAAATGGATATTTTTGATCCAGCACCCTGCGTTAGAGCGAATCATCGTAATATAAGATGATGGGCACAATCGGAGAGCTTTTTCGGAATGGGTAACTAGTTAGCTGGTTCAAGTGAGTAACGGTTTGACTAATCAGAACGACGAGAACTAGAACCGGTCGTTCCCACCGTCTCGGCGCCAAATTTATGCGTTGTAAGGTGGGTACCGCAAGCGCAGTTGGTGACAAAACCATAGAGAACCTGCATTTGGCCTTGGGGAATGAGAATAATATGGAGAATGAGAAGATTTAAGAACTCCGGTATTTTTTAAATTCACACTCCGTCTGTAACTTATATGAATGAAGAACAGCCATGAAACAGAAAGAGGTGTAGACAGCAAAAATCCTTTGCCGACCTTGGTTCTTGGGGAAAGCCACCAGTGGCAAAGAGGTGGGGCTAGTAGCCCGATGACCTGACACCTCAAGCTCTTGAATCGATCTTTAATAATAGAAACCTCTGGTCTCCCTTCTTGTGTGCGTTTGTCTGCTGGACAATTGTTAGCCAATAAATTTGAGGTAAACAAGGAGAGAAAAGAAGGCAAAGAGCTGGAGAGAGGGGAAGGGGAAGAGTGGAATAGGATTGAGAGAGAAAAAAGAAAGAAAAAAAGCAAATAATAGATAATAAAAAGGCAAGACAAGACAGCCATTTTTATCGTGATACAGCCAACCGGGAGGGGAAACTAAACGGCCGGGAAGGCTAATAATAAAACAACGCAGCAGGCAAATCAACGCAGATCTCTTTCCCAAAAGCGAGTGTCTCATCAATGCTGGTTGATTTGCTCGTTTTGACTTTCTTTTTCGCCTTTGCACGAAGCATATTCTTGATGGTACGGTACGAACCCCGTGTGGGCTGAGGTTCCAGTTTTATGAAGCCTCTTGTTTTTTCCCTTGCTTTCTCCGTGCTTACTCAGCATCGTTGTTCAAACTAAATAACCTGACTAGTTAGACTAGTCAACTATTTAACATGGCTTGGTTAAAAGAGTTCTGTCAGCTCGATTTACTGAACGGAAGCAAGGCGTTTGATTTTTTGGGGCGTACTAGGGAGATATTATGGATGGTACGAGAAAAGGCAAAACAACGCAGAGAATGGAATAGTTTCCAGACAGGCAGTGGGTTTGAAGGTGGTCTGTTTGGTACTCCATACGCCTTCTGCTTTGTTTTATATATGTCTTTTTTCACTATATGATTGCAATTATTAGTTCATTATTTGTTTGTCTGCCCATCATCTAAATGCTGTTATTGTTCAACCAGCAACCTGACCAACCAACCGGTTTTGAGGCAAACTGAGCTACGCATATAACTAGTTAGCCGACTGGTTAGTTAACGTTAGTTACCAGATATTGGTTGTGTCAGCAGATCTGGTATCGACGGTACCTGTAATAGAAACGATTTCTCAGCCAGGCATATCCAAAGGTACCACCTACCCTCACGGCCATGGCATGGTCATTATATATATATCTCTCCGCTCAGTCAGGGGCCCGAAGTGATTTTTCAATCTGGGAGCAGCCACCCCCAAAACCACCCACCGTCACCACCACCGCTTGGAGCATGGATGTGCTGTCGTAGTGAACTGTGATAAGGTTTGTGTAATGAAGCGGGAAAACCGAATCACGAACACGATAGGGGAATGATGAACCCGTATTGATTCCCGAAACCGCCATGTCGAGGCATGACTTGACTTGTCCTCGTTCAAGTCCGAAAGGGAAGAATAAAAGCACATTTCTTTGGGTACTCCATACCAACGTAGTTATTTGTTTATAACTATTTATTTGACTTCGACGGTTCAACTGTTCCTCTGTTGAACTACGGCTGTTCCCCAGTGCTAAGTGCTAGGTCATCCCTTGTGGGGCAGCGCACTGGGAACTCAACAACGACTCACCCTAGTGGCGTTGCCAGCCCCAAACCCACCCGCGCACCCCCTGTTGAAGAGGCAGAGCATGCCCAGCCCCCAATGCTTTGGTAGGCGAGGAAAAGCACCCACACGTAGAGTGTCAGTGAGAGCCAAGATCGCGCCGGGCGTGGGAATCGCTGGTGCAGCCGTATAATACTGTCACGGACTGACCTGTATTGTCACCGTACATCCAGCGTTGCATGCAGGCCATACAAACAACCCGTAATTACCTTCTCCCCCAATTCCTCCTTCTAAACAGAGCTGCAACGGCCAACCTCAGCTCCCTCAACTCCTTCAACTCCTTCAACCTCCCTTCTTCTCATTCTTTTCTCTTCCCTCATTCTCTTCCCCCTCATTCCCCCACTCCCTCATTCCCCCCTCTCTCTCTCCAAGGGCTTTAAGTGTTTTTCTAGGTCTTCACCACTCATTACCTCTCTCCCCCCCCTCTTCTTCCTCTTGGATAACCCTCATTCTCTCTTCCTTCTTCTCTCCCTGTCGTCTACCATTTCGCTTTCCATGCTCGAATCCTCCCGCAGTCCACGTCCTCCTTGATGCCGCTGCGGGCCATGATACTCTCGTGTATCCTTTCTCTTGCCCGTCAGCTCGCTGCCTTCCCACCCTAGCTTGTCACTCCTCCCGTTCTACCTCGTTGACGAGGAAGAACCCCTCAACTGTCCCTGTTGACGCTTTTACCCGTCCGTCCCATTCAAGTATCACCACGCCAATTTATATCCGTTGCTCCCCTTTACTGTCCATTCCACTCTCGAAATGACTCCCTTCGTGATTCCCGAGGGGGGACTCTGTCTCCAGAGGGCTGAGAAGCCCGGGGAATTGTCTACGGATTCTTCCACTCCAAAATCTAGCCAGATAATGCGGCTGAATTTGGCGCAGTCTACCCTCAATGAACTCGTCCAGAGTCTGCGTAACGATCAAAAAGCTCGTATCCGTCTGGGAAAACACCAATCGCTACACTACGGCAACAAATCACAGACAATTTTCTCCTCACCAGAAACCCACCCGTCCGAAGTCTACTCTATTTCTCCATCGTCAAAGGAAAATGCTTATTTCACCGGTGTGCTCAGTCATAAACTTGAGGTAGAGAAAGCTCGTGAAGCAACTGCTGCCACCGATGAGGCACTGGCAAATCTTGAGCAGAGGCTGAGTGCCTTTGAGAAAGGAAAGGAGTCGAAGAAAACCCCATTGATTACTACGATTGACCAGATGAGAGCTCTTGGTGCTGGAGATAATCGCAGTGCAACTGGAAAAGCAGCTGCTTCCCTAGCCCGAAAGCCGATAAGCAAGATAGATGTCGAGAAAGAACGCTTTTTCCAGAATGCCGCCAATCGATCCACATCCGTCAGCCCAGGCCTCCTTGCAGCACGTTCCCCAGCTTCTGTTTCTGCGCTCACTCCCACATCTGCCCCACTGCCCCAGAACAAGGACAAAATTCGGCTTGAAGCTCTCCGTGTTCCTCTTACCCATCTCCTTGCTATTCGAGCAGTTTCTGTCAGATTCTTGGCCCAGAAAACCCGTGCCTCACAGAAGGACTGTTTGGCTCTCGTACAGAAATACGGTGTTGAGAACCGGCTAGATCGAGAAAAGCATGGTTTAAAAGACAAGGCATACAAGGATCTTGATGTTTGGAATTTTCCATATCCTTCCCAGAACGAACGTCAAGAAGCAATTGAGAATGCCATCTCAGCCTTTGATCGAATGCGCATCTCACGAACAGATAAACTGTGGCAGATGCTACTCCCAAAAGCTGAGAGGGGAAAGGGTAAAGTCTTGTCTCGATTGAACCTACATACTGGCCCGATTGCCACAGCTACGACCCCACGAATCCAGGTTCAAGCTTCTGAAGACATGTCAAAGGATGGGGACGGAACGGGCAACGAGTCAGAACGGACCAACGGTGCCGTTACTCCCAACCAGCAAAATGGTACTAATTCTGCAAAGGAAGGAACTGAACATAGGAGGAAGTCGACTGAGAAGATTGGCCAGACGAAACGTACAACCACCAAAGCAAAAAATACCACATTGACGGGGAGAGTGACGAAAAAGACCGACAAAAAGAGGGATAAGAAAACTCCAGCAAAACTAGATGCCAAGCACAAATCTGCAGAATTTGTTCGTGACTCAGATGAAGATACAGATATGGTTGATTCACCGCCATTGGGCTCGTCCGCAACTACCACTACAGAGGTTCGAGAGAAACAAAGTCAACCCAAGGCTAACAGAACATCCGTTAAGAGCACTCCGGCCACTACGTCTACATCAAAACAAGCAGAACCAGAAAAGCCAGCCAAAGTGAAATCGCAGTCCGCCGTGAAAACGAATCCCTCTACTACAGCAGCTAGTCGCATTGCCAGCAACAGTTCTCCACAAAAGCCTTCTCCACTCGGGTCATCACCTCCTACGAACGCATCCGATCTAGAAAACGGTGGGCAATCCGCGAACACCGCACAATCTTCCAGTTCCTCCTCACCGCTTATGATCCAGCATTCCAGAGCCAAAGCTTCCTCCGCCCCTTCGGGAACCCAAATACCAAGTAATGTCAATGGTGATAAGAAACCTGATCAAAACTCCTTCAAGCGCAAAGCAGATTCTGATTCACCAGCCCCCGGCCGCACAAACCATGAGCCAAATGGGATACGACACCAAAAGTGTCGTCGGCTTCCCACTCCAATAACGAATGGTCGTTCAATGGAACCCAAACGGCGTCGCCTCTCCAGTCCATCAAGCGGCAGCACTACAGGTAGTGCCTCCCCGCCCCTTAGCCTTGAGATACTTCGCCAGCGGTTACGCGACAAAGCACAACAATTTAAACGGTATTATGCCAAGTATCGACTTCTCCATGAGGAAATGACTAGTCATCCAGACCCTCCTGCGAGCCAGATTGAAAAGCTGGAACGACAGCACGAGCGATTACAGAAGATGAAAGAGGAGATTTGGGAAGAGGATCGGCGTTTGAAAATGGGCTAAGCTGCTATTTATTTATTTTTATATTTCTATATTTTTTGGTTTATCAACTACATATATTTGCATTTGTTTCCCTCCCTTTTTGCAACATTAATCACAAGAGGACCCAGCTCTAAGTTACGGTATTTCATGAGTATTGGTGTGTGTTTTCCTTTTGACTAGCTGTTCCTGGAATTTTTTTTTTTTTTTTTTTTGGCTATTTATTCGAGACGTAGGAACTGGAGTTGAATGGTAAGTGGATACTATGCATGCTGGCTTATCCTTCAGTGAGATTCACAAAGTAGGTATGTTATAATGGGTCTTAGCATTGGCCTTATCTATTTTGATTCTACTCATACCTTTTGAGTACGTTTGACTTCGATATAATAAAACACTGGTCTTTTGAGTTCGCTTTTAGCTTTTTTATTTTCCTAAAGAAATGCCTTTGTCCACATATGAAAGACATTTACATGGTACTTTTAATCTGAAGATTTTTAATCGGAAATACTTAAAGAAACGAATTAGTAAGAACCAAAGAAATGATGCAAGATGCTGGACATTCTCAATACTGAAGTCGTATGGAAGCCTGTCTGTCAGATGTTTTGTAAAGTTCTACCGTTCTTACCAAGGAGCTGGCTAATACGGTAAGCGTGCTCTTCGTCCATCTGTTCGGCCTTGAGGCCAAAGGATCCCAAGGGAAATAATGACTTGTTGCCAATTCAAATATCTTTACACAAGGATTAGATGGGAGAACTAGGTTTGAGTACAGGGAGGGCATACCAAGCAACCCAAGGCCCAGATATCAATCCTAGAACCCCAAGTATTTCAGTGGATTAGCTCAGGTGCACACAAAAGCTGTCAGCATTACCGGCCACTGATCACATTGTCGACTCCATGCAGCTAGGTAATGACATGAGTTCTTGTACCAGGTTTGGGATATAACAAAGACTGCATTACACCTCCACCCAGATCACTAATTTTAATCAAGTTTGTGGTGAAGTCTGTGTCGTCCAGTTCGCCCCAGTGTCTCTGTGTGGCCATCAAATATTTCAGCGCTTCATACCTTCTAGCCACCTAACAGGACTGAACTCAGGGTGCTGCAAAAATACCTCAGCATGCGCAGCCTCGACAATTGAAAATAGAACATTTGCAGGTTGTAGATCTGCATTAGTCAGGATACTATCAACTTTCATGCCTCAGGCGTTGATCTACCACAGTGAGTGATGCCTAGCTGCTCATGAAGAAAGTAGACATCCAACAAGTCTTGTTTGGAAACAGCTTGTACATAGGCTGCCTGGTGCAGCCTTCTGTTGATGTTTGGTACTTCACTTGTCAGATATCATTGCAGGGAGCACTAGACACCAGCGTGTCCCATTTGAGCCATCATGCTCAAAATAATCCAGCAGTTCCATAACATGCCCCCAACCTGATGGTGAATGAGGACAAGGACAATCCTTCATGGCCTGCCTTTCTGATTGACCTTGACCTGGCCATCAAGACACAACGGGATGGGTCTTCTGGTGCACGGGGCAAAACAGGCACCAGAGCATTCATGGTCATCGGCGTCTTGTACGGTGAGAAGCATTGTTTCATGCATGATCTGGAGTCATTCTTCTGAGTCCTGTTCTGGATATGCATTCACTATGATGGTCCAGGGAAGGGAAGGATTGTCGAGCATTTTGATGAGTGGGATTATGTGAGCACTAAAAAACTGGCCATGGAGAAGAAAGGGTTGATTAGTGATGAAGATGACTTTCTCAGGATTTTAGAGGATAATTTCACCCCATACTATCAATCCCTGATCCCTTGTGTAAACCGGTTACGGCGCCTTGTCTTTCCAGACGGCGGACGGTGGAAGAAACCAAGTTTCAATCTATCTCAGAACATGATTGAAACATTTCAAGATTGCGCAATAACTCAGATGCTGTAAACTAATAAAGATTCAGTGTATCAATAGAGTGAATTGCTCTTTGTTTTGTCATTTGATACAGCATGCCTTTGACTGACTCAGTGAAGACTAAGGACAATCATGATTTGAGCGGCTCTCCTGCAACTCCCTTTACATGGCTGTGTGGGAAGCCTGCGACGCTTTGGTGGCGGTTTCGTTGGACTGTCCTCTTCGCTGCCCGCACGGTAGTCATAATCTGTATCGCCAGAGTGTGCGCTCGAGCCATCCGTGTCGGACATGGTCGTGTCGTCTTCGACACACTGCACGGGTTTCCCGGGCAGCCTACAGTCCTGGGTATCGGGGACCTCGCGCTTCGATCGTGCACGGGTCTTCCGTTGTCGGGCCCGGAGTCGGCTGCTTAGCCCATTCTCGTACCGCATCGAGCTTAATATGTCTTCTTCGAGGCGATCTGTGATGACTGGCACTTCGACCACGACCATGGGGTGCATGGCACCGGTACCGACCCCGGGCCGACGTTGTCTCTTGAGCGGGATAGACCGTCCACTGGCAGTGCCAGGTGCCGGCTTCGTCGCTTCCACCATCTGCCTTGGGAGAGTGAGATATAGATGTTGCACGGCTAGAAGTGCGGGAGATGTGAAGGTGCTGTCAACACTGGACCCGTCCGTATTGCTGTCGTCAGAGTCCACGGTCGGCGGATCGTCGGGCAGCGGGCCATCACCCTGACTGCTTCGGGGTCATTCTCGTCGTCTATGCGATGTATCCTGATCCGGCCCTCGCTCCAATAAGCCAGCCTGTGGAATCGAATCCGGTACGGGCGTTGAACTGCCGTTGCCAGGAAGAGTCTTTGTGCCGGCGGATCCGACCAGGCCGCATTCTACGGCGGTCGACGGATCCGGTCAGGATTCGTCGGCTTTCTCCTGGCCTATGTCCTCATACCCATCAGGAAAACCTAGGAGGCGCCCTGGTGTTAGAAACCGATCTAGCCAGATAGAATAAAAAAGAGAGGGAAGAGAGAGAGAGCGAGAGCGAGCCGGCTACCTCAAAAAGGGGGATTGGAAAGGGTATAGACGTTCCAGTCGCTGCAATGTTCACAGAAGAGATGGTGATCTGGATCCGAACCAAGGAGACCGCTCAGGTACTTTGGAACGGTGAATCCACGGGGAAAAGAGAGCATTTATCTACAGTTTCACTGTCCTGGTGATAGCTACATCCTCCGTGTTCCTCCATTAATATATCAATAGTTAAATAAAATTTATATTAAAGTAAAAATTATTATAATTTTAAATAATTTCTTATATAATATAGTTTAATTTAATAATAATAATAGTAATTATTATTATTATTATTATTATTATTATTATTATTATTATTATTAAAAATATAAAATAGCATATTTTTTATTTTTTTACTATACAAAGCTTATCATATAACTAACCGTGCCACGCGCACTCACTACCTCCCATTAGTGATGGTGATGGGAGGTAGTGAGTGCGCGTGGCACGGTTATATGTGTATTTATATTAGTTAGAACTGGTAAACTATAATAATGACATCAAGTAATTATTTTATAAAAGTTATTAAATAGGTTTTATATCATGCATTCTACTTCAAATACGATGATATTCCTGACTGGATCTTCAATCAGTTTGTATCTGCAGAGAGAGAAATGGGCAAATATGACAAACAACATGTGATCCTCGTCGGGAGCTTTAGCTAACCTCTTTTCGCCTAGCTTCCCCGCTAAGCAAGACTCTGCTTGGAATTTTCGATCAAAAATTCACTTTCGTCATCTCATCAGTTTGTTGGCAACGTAATTGGCAGAGGGTTCAGACTCAACGTCAACGTCAACCTCAACCTCAACGTCAACCTCAACGGTTATCCCATCTCGTCGCCAGTTCATAAGTGAAGCGATCTTGGCCGTCCACTAGACGATGCCAATTCACAATAAAGGATAATTGGAAAGAGTGGATGGAGACAAGGCTAAAGGAGACAACGCGGGGTTTCCGTTTACCCAGCTCGATTGTTTGATTCCTTGGACTTTTTCGAATCTTATCCTGCTAAAATTATACGGCTGGAGGGATAGGTATATCTAGCTGCTTAGCTGGCCAGGGTGCCTACAGATATCGGAGAAGGATATATCTTGGTGCGCATATATATATATATATATACATATATACGAAGGGGCTTTGGGGAACGCAACACCCCTATCATAACCTGGACCATGTCTTACCCAGGAGCAGGCCCCGGGAGCGGGAAGGGGAAGCGAGAGCGCGGTCCAACAGTGCTTGTGGGTTCCTAAAGTCTCCTTCCTTTCTTAGATCACTAACCGATGGACATATACCCGGTCCTTGAAAACTTATGTTTCTCCATTCTCTAAATGTCGTGAGAGCGTAGTGAAGCTGAGATGGCAAGACTGTTAACCATTTCATTCTAGGTTACGGACTCCCGTGATCCAGCATACAGCCACCGACGTTCCCAGATACAAAACACCGCTTCTCCACGCTTTATCACCCTGGACAATGTCCTCCAGCACACCTCAGATGTTCCGTCCATGCATCAACGACAGAAGCCACTAGGTTTCCTAGCACGACCTCGCACGAGACTCAGCGGACCAGGCGCTCTGGCTGGCTCAATGGGATCAACTGAATTGGGACGAAAGAGTGGCATGGATCCAAGATTGAGGGCGGCGGGCCGACTGGCAATTTTGCCGCATTTGCCACCTCGCTCAACGAAAGTCAGTGAGAAACTGGTGTTGCTTCCGGAAACAGTGCAAGAGGAAGAAGAACTTGTGGAAGATGTGGAGGATGTTGAAGGACTCGATGGTCCTGTGGATGAGGAACCCGGGCCCACGAGAAAGGAGACTCCTGCTGAAAGGACACGCCGGATTCTGGCTAAGCAAAGACAACAGAAAAAATATGGGGATTTCGATCAGGAAAACGATGCTGCGCCGCTTCTAGCAGAGGAAGAGCGTCTGAAACGCCGTCGTGTACCCCCTGAAGCGGCTAAGAGTTATGCAGAGCGTTTACCGAAGGCGCACCGTGCGAAAAAGCTTCCTCGTGTTACGGCCTATTGTATTGCACAGGGTTACAAGATAACCGTTACTGCAGCATTTGTGAAGGAGACCCATGGCGCGAGGACGAAGCTGTACGATGATTGTTTGTATACTGCGTACCATTTGCCACTATTGCCTGGGAAGGGGGGTTATAGAATTCGGAGTAGTCCGATTCTGAAAAGTGCGGGGGGCAAAGCTGTCTTAGATGAGGAGATTGAGAGGAATGAGCGGAGGGATTACCATGACGAATACTACACGGAAGAGGACGAGCATTCAGTCAAAGCTACTGGATTCGACCGCGAAGGATCTAGAGGGAGGTCAAACTCGCGAGATGGTGGTGATGCTGACGGACAAGCGGGGCCAAATGGCATCGCAGCCCGTCAGCAACAGGAACAAGAAAGTCAACACACCTCCGCAAATAAGGACGATGCACATAATATGCCCGGATCAATTTCCATGGCCAGAATCCCACCCAATGCCCTAACGTTCGCAGAAATGTTTCTCTTTAGCTACGGAGTTGTCGTTTTCTGGAACTTCACCGAAAGGGAGGAAAAAGATGCCCTAGCCGACCTTGCATTCGCATCATCGGGTAAAGGTGGCGGTGCTCCCATCCCTCTCGCCACTGCTCCGTTGCCCGAAGAGGACTTCGAGACTGAAGAATTTCACTTTGAGTATTCGTCACAGATTTCCCGACCCCGCGTTTACAATGATATGATCACACTGCGCAGTGGGGACCATATGATCAAGCTTGCCATTAGCCATGGCATTGCTCAGAGCACGAAACTGAGCTTCTTTGAGGAAGTTATGGCACGGCAGATGGCCGAGGCGAAGGATGTGCCTCGAAGGCTGGCGTTGACGGGCCATCTAGGGATGAAGAGGCAAGAGGTATTTCAAATCCTGGGGAAGCTGTTTGAGTGTAGAGTTCAGGTGAATTTATGTAAGTATTTGCTTTGCCCTACCTCGGTTTACGGACGGTTCAGGTCAATGGATCATTTGAATGGAGATGTAACCAAGAAAACCAAACCGATAGCTTCGAACATGCTCGACGTGCCCTCATTCTTCTGGGATAGCGAACCGACTTTGCATCCCCTGTACATTGCTGTGCGGGAATACCTGGAAATCAAGCCTCGCATTCAAGTACTGAACGAGCGATGCCGCGTCTTTCTCGATTTGACAGAGATCTTATCAGATTCCATAGCAGATAATAAGATGTCGCGTATGTCCTACACATTTCCAATCCCCATGTCCTGAGAAATTTTGTTCATTTAAACACACATGTACTTACACTCTTAACAGGGCAAACATGGATTATCATCATTCTCATCGGAATTTCCATCATCGTCACCATTTCCGAGGTCGTGTTGCGTTTTGGAATTCTGTCGACGAGGTCGTCTGAAATACGTCATTATCCTTCCAAGATGATTCACCATGCATACGGTTATGGGCATGATTGGACGACATAGGTAGCCTCGCTTCCTGAAAAAATATACCCTATGTCGACACACTTTTCGGGGCATCATGTAGACAATGTTAGCCTCCATCGGCCCATTATTAAATTTAAGCGTTCCAGATTGACGTCTTTTGTCCGCGGGCACGTTTTAAGCTGACGGATTACACGGCTACATTACCCTGCTTTACCTGCCTCATTAGGAACCTATGCTCTGTATGATATATGGTTTTTCAGTTCCGTTTTACAAACTGATAGAAATCAAAAATTCAATACGATCTCTAGCCTACATCTTAAATTAATAAGCTACAGCTGCCCATGAAAACTAGCATCACCATTCTCGTTTTGCCCCGGCCCAGCCAGAAACTAACCGACACATCATCTCTGGTTAGTGAACTACCCTCTCTGCCTATCTTGCATATCCAAGTTGTCCAAATTGCAAAATACCGAAACAACCTTGGAAAGCAGTTTCTATTGCGACGCTTACACCTGTAAAGGAGGTTTTGAGGAACTAATTTGCGGCCGTGGGAGAGGTAAACTCATTATTGTTCCTTGTTGACGTCTTTTTTCTTAATTCCATAGATTTATCCGTTTTTCTTCTGAATGTTCCTTTACTATTTCCGACAATCAGGCTTAATTCCAATCGTCGCAAAGTTCATTTCAAGTAGCCGCGGTGTTCTATACATGGCCTGTCTCGTCATGTCGGGGCTTAATTTCCACTGAACATTGACGACAACCACCATTCATCCCATTAACATATGATGAATGAGCTATGAAAGTCTCCATAACTTTCCGCAAAGAGCACTTCTCAACTTGTGGGGTTACATTTTCCAAATTCAAGTCATGCTGCTCCTATTGCTTCGAATTTTACTTTCTACCTTCACCCGTGGAGACCAGGCCTCGGGGGTATTGAAAGGTTCTTCTTCGCCCGCCACCGGTACCCATTGGGGATATGACATCAATATACAGATATGAGGTACCCGAAGAAACGAAACAGCGGCATAACCGCGTGACCCGTTGATACGGGTCAAATCGGATTCTACCGGTATGGCTACATGCGGACACATCCTTTGGATTCGTAGCTCGCGGACACACTCGACACACTGCTTAAGGATAACAGATACGAAGAGCAATGAAAAAAATGATCCCCATCAGGAAACTCACGGATATTCTTCAAAGGCCGAATATGCAAGGCACTACACGAGGACGGATGAATGGGCTTATTGGATCCCCTGCTACCTGGGGCCGTTGCTGAATATCCCAGGAACAAGCGGCAAGGAGATCAGGAGTTGAATGCAATATCCTGGGGCCCTCAACTCCGATAACTTGATGTACCTAAGTATGGGCAGGGAGGAGGGGGGAATTTTTATCAACTGACTGAGAGGTTACCTGCATATATGACTGATGAAAAGGAACAACAACACGGGTACAATGGCAACGTCGAAGCATGTACAACCACGGTTTCCTGCTAAGCATCGACAGTTCGGAGATTAAATCCATTTGGCCACCCGCGTAGACTGACTGCAACTTGATGAAAATCGTTGTATATATGGACCTAGATTCATAGATAACCCAGTTGTGGGTGGCGACGAAGCTTTCCCCCCCGTTTAGCAAATCTTAAACCGACGTCCAATGCATAAACTAGTTACCCGTTCGCAGTCGGAATGACCGGGCTTTCTAACTACCACTTCCGTTCACTCCACCAAGTACGGATGCTTAGACGGACCCTGTAAATACGCCTCAAACTCAAGTCACATTCCTGGCATTCGTAATGGCACTGCACAGGCCGGAGCTACTTCTTGTAACGGTTCATTTTTCGACCAGGTGGGTGTGTCAGGTGAATTGCATCCTGGCTGGTTCAAGTGCATTGTGAGTTTTGAGAAAATAACCGGTCGGACAACATCCAACTGGAAGGTACATTGATTTTTTTTTCTTCTTCTTCTTCTTCTTCTTCTTCTTTCTTTTGGCATTGATGCGTACTCAAAACAACAAATAAACAAAGTACCCTCCGGAATGATCCCAATCCAATGGTCAAAAGGGGTCATCTTTCATCAACAACCATATTCCGTGGGCGAGGTGTTGGTTGACAAGAACCTTTTGTTGTGCTTGCTGCTTCCCGGGTTTAGATCGCAATGGCAGAACGAAAATTTGAGCCCAGAAGCAGATAAGAGGCTGTGATGGATTCTGGGGCTTGTGTGTGAGGGGGGCCCATAATAATTATCTTCTATCCAGACTGATGTGCTTCACTTAGTGGAGAGGGGATCCAGCAGTTTGTTGGCCTTTGAACCCGCATCCGGCGAATAAACCAGAGTAGTTGAAAGGCCGGTTGTCAAAGTCATAAACCGGCCCAGATGAACCAAGGCTTCTTTCAAAGTCTGGCAATGAATCTGCTTCAAAACAA